CTCTGGGTGCCCGGCCGACTCCTCTGCTTCTCTGTTAGATGGCACGGCGAGCACCCCCCCCTCCACTCAGAACCTCGCCTGTGTGGTCGGTGGGCCTCGTCCGCCACAGGAAAGGGGCAGGGTCAGGCAGAAGAGTGGGAGAGGTGGGGTGGGAAGCGTAAAGGAGTGGGGGAGGGGTTACAGCGCACATGGTCCCAAGTGTTCCAAATGCAGGAAGTCGTGTCCTGGCTTTGCTGCTTTATTTCCTCCCCCCTACGTCAGAGGATTTCAGAGACTGTCATGGCACAAAGAAATCATTTAAGTGTGTTATGAAAATAAAATGGACTCACTTTCACCTCCTTTACCCATGGGTGACTGATTTCAGCTGTTCAGGAGATTAATGATTGTTTGCTGAAGCTCCTAGAACGCCCCGCTCCGTGCTCTTGGTCTCAAAGTGTGGAGATTGTCGTAACTTGAAGCTCTTTGAGTGTTCTGTCACAGCCAATACATAATTGTTTCGACTCCCTTTATGTTTTATTTACACTCCTCTGTTTGTTCAGAGCTAATCGGTCAAGTTTCCGTACACACTTGAACCCTCCAGCGGTCAGCCCGGAGCCAGGTGTGTGTTCAGCCTTTGTGTGTCCTGCACCCCTTTTGGTTTTTTTGCCCCCAGTCGCCCTCACCCATCCAGACATGCCGGAGATTCTTTGGCACACCCTGAAATTCCTCACTCTTTTCCTTTCTTTGGTGGTCTTTTTTTTCTTTCTCCCCCTATATTTTCCACCAGGAGAAACCACAACAGAAACCACAACAGCGGTAAACGGTATCGTTAGCCGTGTGTGTACATGAAGACATTCATTCATTCACACACACAATGTGGATGCTGTAAGACCTGAAGCATACTTTAAACCCTCACTCCCCAATTGGAATTATAGTGGAGATATTTCTGTCTCTGCACCACCAACACTTTACAGTTTGTTCTTTTTTTTACTTCATAAGGAATGCCTGAGTGTGAGCATTTGTGTTTGTCTATACACAACAGGCTTGTTTAGGCTGAAGTCTCATTTAGGGTGTCACTTTGTCTCTGTTATTTCCCGCTATTGACAACTTAAGGAAGCCCCCACCAACCCTTCTTCCTCAATGCTTCCGCTGAAACTCTGCTGCCTGCTTCGGGATGGCTGTTCTTTTTCCCAGCGTCTTCCTTTGTTTTCATGGAAGCACGCCACACACAGGCACATACAGACTCATGCTAGGCTCAGAAAATACAGTGTCCAGTGCTCACCGGATCGAACTGGTAAATGGTTTTCTTGCAATTTTGCATAGTTCTGATTAGCGACTCATCTGTGATTGACTTCTCTGACTGAAGCACTGATTTGATTAAAAATACACTGTTTGATTAACTCAAAGGACCCTGACTTGAAATACAAATATGGAGAAAAAGAGAACAATAAATGAGCTTCTCATAGAAAAATAACTCTTTATTACAGGTTGAGATCCCATATATAATAATCATCTTGTATATATTTCTTTAATTTAAAAAAGAAAAAATTAATCAACACAATCTGGGTGCACGTTTGAAAATAGCTTCTTTTAAATTAATGCAACTATGTTTAAAACTGCAGCCGTGGGTTTAAAACGAACAGACCAGCTTATAGAATAAGTCTACAATGCTGGCTCCTTCTGAGCCTTTCTCAGTTTTATTATCCAACAATAGAGCTTGAAATCAATTCTCATTAATGCAAAGAGCCACTGTGGTAATGCTGGACCACTTTTATTTGAATCTGTGGCAGAAGTTTAAATAACATTTTTGTCATCATTATAGATTGTATAGCACTTCTGTACTGAGATGGCTGGAAGGAAAAGAACCTGACCAGCTGCAGCTGCATGGCATTCTGCTAGCAGTGTTGTTAGCATGTAGTGGAAGTCTTTTTTTTTTTCTTTTTTTTTCGTTGTAAATTATGGCTTTTGTGTCTTCTCCAGCCAGCAAAAACAAAGCCAAGAAAGGTTTGGAAAGGGTGCCTGCCATTGTGCAGCTGGCTTCCACACTTGTATCCTAATCCAAATGTTAGAAAAACACCAAGCTGCGCTTTGCTTTTCTGCACGATTTATAGATTGTCCGACGTCTTTCCATGGTGGTGTTGCTTTTTTTGTCTCGTGTTTTTTGTTTTTTTTTGTAACAGATGGGGTCTTCAAGAGCTGTGGGGGGGGGGGGTATAGCAGGAAGGGGTGGTGGGGCGAGGCTGTAAATCAGAGGAGTTGAGGGAAACAAGTAGTTTTATGAGACTTTACAGACCTTCTTTACTTTTAATGAGAAAAGACAGCAGTTTTCTTCTAGACAAAGGAGAGGCACAGAGGGGAGAGAGAGTTGATGAATGCTGTGGCGGGAAGAAAAGACGAGGCAAGGAAACGGGATAAAAGAAATAGGTAAGGGTCACGTGGGAACAAGAATGGCAGAGAAAAGGAAATGAGCAGCGAGGGGCCTATCAAACTGTTGGCTGGCATCCATTTGGCATATGAGTGCAACACGTCCTCCTCCCCTCCACGCTCGACTCCGAATCTGGTGAATCGCTACGGTTACACATCCATGTTAAAAAAAAAAAAAAGAAAAGAAGAAGAAAAAAAAAACCCATGGACGGAGTGTTTGCAGCTGCTACCGTCAATCCACTCGGGCCGAGGTTTCCCAGCACATGACGCGTCGCACACACACGAGCGGCGCTAGCGCAGGCCGCACAGCCAGGAGCCGCTGGCCAGATGTCGAAGGTCACTGCATACTGCGTGACACAATGTAGATCTTATTTCCCAGCCCCCAGCGATGGAGGCCCGCTGAGCACTCGCTCAGCGTCATTTCATCACTGCATTTCTTTTTTCCTGCTTCCCACCGCATTAAACTGTTTACGTCGTTGAGAAGGTCCCGCTTGCTTCACTAGTTTCTGCATGCGAGTTCCTGTGTCACTGCCGGAGCTCTGTAATTACGCTTAGACACCCTCATCTGCAGCAGCACACTCCAGAGACTCAAAAGATGCTTTACGCTCACTCGTCCCAAACAAGTGGAAGCCATAAACCAGATCCCAGTTTGGGTTAAAAAGTTGAAGTCTTGCTGTGCCTGCCACAGAGCTCTATCTGTAGCTCCACCCAGAAAGGGAATTTTCCCTTGTTTTGTTTTGGTTTTTATGCGAGTTGGAGGGACTTCTTTTTTTTTTTTTTTGTGTTTTGGTCACTGCTCCAGCACACTTTGTGGGCCCTAAAAAGGGGAAGGCCAAGTCCAATGAATTCCCACATCAAAGCGTGTTTACAGATCTCATTGCGTATCTGGGGAAAGTTGGAAATGCTTCTCATGGCAACAGGGGCAATTTTCTGAAGTATATTAATTTCACCCAGATGATGTCAAGTGTTGCATGGCTGGTACAAGACTACGGTTGAGCTAACTAAACCCCTCCGCCCCTTTTCCTATTTCTTGATTAAGCCAGATGTCTGTATGGACATAAACCGTGTGTGTGTCGGAGGAGGAGGAGTGTATGTTGGTGAAACACTGTTATATTTTTGTAATAAATCCATTCTTTCAAGCCAAGTCAGCAGGAATGTTTCCGGGGGAAATAATACATACACACAGTGCGCGCAGCTCTGTTATACAAGAACTTTTTTCTCACGCACAAAAAGTTAAGCGTATTCTCTGGTATGCAGGCTTGTAACAGCAAGGTTCAAGGAGCCAAGCGTGCCGTGTAATTTTAATGCAGGGAAAGCAGCATTTTAGTTCCTGTCTTTGTGCAAACATTGCAGCTCTTGATGATATATGTGTTTTCTTATATGTATATCAGGTCATTTCTGTACCTTTTTAGCTGCAGAGTAATGAGTGTTATACTTATATTGCCTTTTTCAAAGAGTCTTTCCGAAGAGGCATAGCCACCACAGGCGTGTACAGGTTTACATCTTAAAAACTGACACGGTTATGGCTCCATCACAACCACTGATCCAGCTCGGTCTTACCTGCATCAGCTTTAATGCCAAAGAAAAAAAATCCTGTTGTCACAGCTGCTCAGAATTACACAGCTGCTGCTCCCTCAGACGTTTTACGCTTTCACTGCAGTTGGCGTAACGTGGAGCTTTTTTGCCATGCAAAGCAGATGTTTAAGTCAGGGAACAGTTTTGCCTTGGTATTAGATGATTACAGATGTCAGCCTCACTTAACTGTAGTCATTGGTTTATCTAATGTATATGTGTGGAAAACTACGCAAGACAGCAAAACAAAGTCTATAATGGGATTTACATTGTATTTATCCTTTTAGATCTTTTGCCAAAGCTCAGATCTGGACAAAGTTTGGAGAAGATATACATATGTCCTCTAAAAATGTATTTTATTTATATATATATATATGTATATATATATAACCTCCATATAAAACTATTTATATTAATGTTTTAATTATTTTAAAAGGAAAAGCACTCTGATAAGGGAACATGCTTCTGTTAATATATTCAGAAAGGATTTTTTATTTTTACCAGAATGTACATGTTTCTTAGCTTTTTTTTTTTTTTTGTCTTCTCCAAAAATGTCATGCTTCAGTCATTCCAAGAGCTTTCCCAGCCACTCCTCCAGGGATAAGTGATATTTTATGGCGCCGCCTGACTACACTCTGCATGTTTCTCTGCACTTCTCAGAGTGTTGGTGAGAACTGTCCATGACTCTTAACTGCATTATGCATCAATCTGTGTATAAGTGTGTTGTTTGAAAGCAGTGGAAGGGGAGTTTTACTAGTCTCCCGTGGCATTAAGTTTATGATAGTTCCAGTCAGCACATGGTTGGCACAACTCCATGAAACAAAGAAATATGAGCTCTGTACAAAATGAACCGTATGCCCCTTCATTTTTAAGGTATATGTACAAACGCACACCCACGCTGAGTGTTAGTGTTTGACCGAGGTCGTGAATAATTAATGCCTCTATTTGTCCCTCACATGTCTTTTGTGGCTCTTTCCCTCCCTCATTCTCTGTCATTAATCCTGTTTTATGTTTGCTTCTCCCTCAGGATACTGCTGTTTCAGTGAGGTCCTCACGATTGGACGTTAGAAACTCCACCAACTACCAGTATGGACCTGCTTTATCCCGGTGTATCCCACAATCCTTAGTTCTCAGGTTAGTGCCAATTGTAAATTGACTCCCCCCCTTTTTTCCAAAGCAGTCTTGTTTTCCATATAAAAAAATAGTCTTATAAAAGGGAAACTTTTGCTGCAAATCTTCAAAATGGCTTTATGTTCTTTTTAGCCAAAAAAATAAGCTTTTTGTCAAAGAAATGAAGCCTGGCTCTCCTCTCTTTGCTAAGATTGCAGTTGTGGTCCAGTGCGTACAGATTCAGGACAGACATACTGTGAGGATGGCATTGAGATGGATTTGGAGGGTATTCTGTAGTTCTTTATTTTGTAGTTTAACAACATTAACACATTCTAAGTTAGCTCTCTAAGATTTTTACTAAACAGAATTCCCTTTTTCCAACATATCTAAATCTAATCTTTTCTGAATCAGCTACATTTAAGCTTTTTTTATGTGTGTTTTTAAAATCTGACCACAGTCACTACAGTTGTATCAATGAGTTTGTTCTGTTCAACAGTTTTCTGAAATCCTCTTGGACATATTCAGAAAATCCTGCCTTGTTTACCTTTTTTTTTATTTGGGATTAAGTTACTTAAATTAGTGTGCATGAGGGGACTGTACACAGAACAAATATATACCTAACAAACTGTGGCTAGTGTTAACTGATGGCTCCTTTGATCATTCCTCCGTGTTTAATTTAGTGTCTGTTTTTGTCATATTGATTTCTGTTGTTTGATGTAGCCTCTGTGCCTTGCAGTTATTCTGTTTCCATGGTAACCAACTGTAGTTAGGTTTCAGATGGATGAATGTGGTCTCTGAAGGCCAACCAAGAAGCACTCGGGGTACTTTTCATTCGCCCTGATAATTCTTTTACCATCTTGATTCCCCCTCCTGCTGTTCAGATCTGCGGCTGAGTCTCCTGACCTCTGAGCTGTGGCCTGTCCCGGTCTATGACTGATCCCCCTCCAGGTATAAGATATATGCACACATACATGTGCCAGAGTGATTCGAAGATGTTGTTTGTGCCCAGTCGTGATTACAATTAAACCAATCTTATCTCATCTTTTGTACTTTCTCAGAATGATGTCTTTTTAAATTTGGGAAGCCAGCTTAGACCTAGCCTATGACTCATTGAAGCAGGGGAAAAAAACTCCACATAAGGGCAAAATACTCTGATATTCATTTGCAGCAGCCAGAGAGAGCTATTCCTGAAGACAGTTGAAAGATATTTCCAGTAAGCTCCAAATAAAGAAGGTTCAGATATTCAAATATTGACTTTGAAGCTTGTTAAAATCATACAATCTCTGATAGTGTGTTGTAGTTTTTTTATTTCCATTTATATATGAACACCGATCAATAATAATTTAAACCTCTTTGCAGTTTTCTTTAGAACAGTAAAGAGGTTTAGAACTTGTCTGTGAGTAATGCTTATTGCATTTATTTATTTTCATTTTAACAATCTCCTTTAATTTAATATGTGCACATGTGTGCAGTTCTGGCCAGACTGTGACCAAATACGTTATAGCCGTGGGCCCAATTTGTGCAGGATGCTGCTTTTGTGGAGTTGCTACTCAGCTTTACTGAGAGGTTCATGAATATACTGAATTAGGGATTAACAAAAAGGCACTCAGTGTTGCTGTTGAATCGATTGTGTGTGAACTCACTGCATCTTACCGAGGTGTAGGCTGAATCTTTTCAATGTCTTCCTACTATAGATCTTCTGTCTTTTGGCACAATGATGTCAGTGGATGTGACCAATCGTAACGGCCCTGCTGCCACGCCCCCCACCTCACTCAGCCTCCGCTCCTCACACAACCAGCTTCTCAGCAGCGACGTCATCAAACAGGGCTCGGCGACGCCTCCCAAGTGTCGCAAAAAGTACGCCCTCACAAGCATCCAGGCCGCCATGGGCCTCGGAGAAGCGGCGCCCCCCTCATCGTCGCCGTCCCTGTCCCCGACGCAGTCCGCGACGCCCAACAATCCCAAACTCGCCAAAAATGGGGCTAACCAGCTGCGTAAAGCTGGCCAGGACCACAACAAAAACACGACCGGCCCGGACTCTGTGGACCTCGAGGGCAGCCCGGAAGATTCAGCCGACGACGTCAACGTCAACACGGTGGAGGAGGAGGTCAGTCCCGCTTTCACCAACAACGACCGAGAGGACGACGTCTTCCAGATGGAGGATGAACTGCACCCCCATTCGGCCAGCGACGCCGAGACGGAGCAGAAATCCGAGTCGGACATGGACTGTAACATCAACTGCACGGTGAAGCTGAAACTGAACAGCAGCACCTCAGAGTTAGACTTTGACTTGAATGTGGAGGCGGAGGAGACTGACGACATCAGCATCCTGTCTGAGAAGGAAATCATGTCAAAGATGAAAATCGAGGAGGACGACGGGGTGGAGGAGGAAGAGGACGGGGAGAAGAAGCCTTTGCTGACGCTGAAGGGTGAATCGCCCGTAAACCTTCCAGGCCTCACACTCATCTCTGACCTCCACCCCAATATCAAACTCCTCCAATCAGTCAAGAACTCGGGAGTGCCGCCCCCTCCTTGTCCACAAAGGCAACACAGCCCGGAGGACGCCCACCTGCTCTCTGTAGTCTCCTGCCCCTCCTCTTCCTCCTCCTCCCCCGAGACGAAGAAGGACAGAAGGACTGGCGCAAAGACGGACTGTGCTTTGAACCGCATCCAGAATCTGAATCCCAGTGATGAGGAGTTGAGTTGGACAACCCTTTCACAGGAGAGCAACTCCCCTGAGGAGACAGGTACGTTCTCTCTCTCCAACTCTCTCTCGCACACACACACACGCACTCAGACAATTTTTCTAATAAGCCTCAACCTCCTTATTTGCTAGTGTTTGGCGAACTCCTTGTGAGAGAGTTTGCGTGTCACCAAAACTCTACTTTCTTGTTTGTTATCTTGTGGTTTCTCTGTCCTCTCAGCTCCCGGACTGTTCCCATATAGGGTGACAATGTGTTTGTGTGTGTGTGAGAGAAAACGAGGGGGCATTCACAAAAGTCAGGCCTTGCTGAGACAAAATAACAAACCCCTCCAGCCCTCCGTGGATCTCCCAGAATCTCCACTGGGACAGGAAGTGACTTTGTAGCATTTTTGGTGGCTAGCAAGTCTTGTAGGCTGCGTCCTGTGCATGCCTGCGTGTGTTAGCCAACCACGGGCGAGTACGAAATCTGTTGCTTAAATAAAGGCTTGCACACTATTCTTGATAAGGCTCAAGCAAAGTGGATTTTATGGATGCATACATGTGCAAAATGTGCACCTGCGTCTTTGCCTGTGCTCCTAGTGTTATATATCAAGTCCGCTCCACCTGGGTCAAGGCGGTAAGCAGCCTGCTTTCGCTCTCACTCGACCCTCCGAGCAAGGGATTTAATTTTTCAAAAGAAAAGATCATTGGGATCCTCCTATGTGGCGCTTTTGTGTGGAGAATCTCTTAAGACGAAGAGTAGGGAAGTGATCCTGTGTGAAGATTTGCTCTTTCCCAATGGTATAGCTTCTTTTTTTTCTTTTTGAGCTACTACAAAGAAAATAGCAGCGTGTATTGTGCACACTGCTCGCCAAACGGGTGCTACCTGTGAGAAATAAATGTTCAGATGGTCGGCTGCATTTCATATCCATTTAGTTGGTGCTTCCTAAAAATTCTGCTCTTCTTTCAGGCCTCACTTTTTTTTCTGGCTTGTTGCTTGTGTCTGCAGAAGATCTGATTAAGTCCTTTTGTTTCGATGTCAGCATTATGTAAAATTCAGGCCCTGAAGATTAATTGGGCTGTTAAAACTCTACCTTGTGCTTCGGTGTAGGACATATGAAATACTTCCATCTCCTGGGGCACAGTAGCCTTGACCTGTGACACAGCTGTAAACCAGTCTGTCTGCAGCAGATGTAGTGCTCTTCTTCGTCTTCTTTTTTTTTTTTTTTCCCTGAGCATCAGTGCTGCTTCTCCCCCTCCTCCTCATAGCTCTCCGATGACTCGGTTTCTTTCTCTCCACTTAAGCATCTGTGCTTTTGATTTCTCTGCAAATGTATTCAGCAGAAGGGATTCCTGGGCTTTTTGTGTATTTGGCTATTTTGCTGTCAGAAATTTTGGATTCAATTTTGATGTATTGTATTCATTGGATTTTAAACTTTAGTCTATAAACACATCATTGTAAAGTCGAGCAAGATCCATCTGGTAAATGTCATGGTTTGTCGACATTTACAGAAGGGTCTAATCCGTGTGCGTGCTCACAGAAAGAAGCCAGCATGCACGTGGTCACAACAAATTGTCAGGGTGCCTCGCACAATCCAGACACAACGGTGATGACATTTGAATCATGCACGCTCCAGCGGAGCCTCGCGCGCTTGCAGATGAGGGTAAAAGACGCTTGTTTGTCTGTCGCTCTCTCTTATGCGTCAGGTTTTTCTCGGGATGCCATGAGTCGGAGGGCCAATATGACACCGCTCTCACACAGAGGAGTCAAGACCTAAACACAGACAATCTCACACACGTGCTCCCCTGCAAAAGGGAGGACAAATGTTTCCATGTAGGATTAGATAAAGTCATTCAGTTCATTGCTTATCTGTTTCCTCTCTAGTTTTTCTCTCCCTTCCTCTCTGCTTTAGAAGCAGGAAGGTTATGATGAGTGAACAATCTCCATGTTGTTAGAAAATCAAATGGGGGCTAAAGAGAAAGTGGCAAACAGAGAAAAAGTCCTCAACATTTAATTAAGGACGTCCGTATCAATTTGTTGAGATTCTAAGGTGCATGTATTTTTGGAGTTCAGCAGAAGGAGGACAGGGTTTAGGTGAGCTGTTGCTCCAAATAAAAAGGACCGAAAACAAAGGCAGACCGCACTGGGCTGCAGGGGACGCACAGCCTCTCTGCTGCCTCTCTCCTCCTTTTATGTTTGTGACTTCATTTCCCTCTCTTTGTCTGTCCATCCTCACTCACAACTCTCCCCTCAAACACTGTTTCTCCACGTCGCTTCAGGTCGCCTTTTCCCATCGTGTTTTCTCTCATGCTCTGCCTGGATTAGTCTAAATAACCCCCCCCCCCCCACCCCGCCTTCAATCACCACCTTCCCCACTCTCCGCTCCTTCTCCTCATTCTCCTCACCCCTTTTTTGTGGTGTCCCCCTGCTTCTCCTCTCCCTCTCTCTCTCTTTCCATCTGTCTGGGGTTCTCTGTTTGACTACAGCAGCAGGTTTTGCTGTCTGAGAGGCAGCTAGCTAACTATGATGCTGGGCAAAGACTATATGCTGGCCATTGTGATTGTCAATTATGAGGGTAGGTACATTTGCTGGACTCGGCTGGATGCTGCTCTGCTGGTTTAGAGTTTGAGTGCAAAATTGTCTTCGTCTGCGCTCGTGCGTCTCTTCCAACATGGATGTGAAGTTTTATCTCTGTGATGATCGGCTGTTTGAATCTTTGGTCCGTGCATGCTGTATTTCTTCGCGTTGGTCTGCCTGTTTTCTGAGTATTTGTCTCGTCATGCTTGCCTGTGTTGGTGCTGCCAGGGGGAGCATGTGCGTGCATGTGTGTTTTGCCCCCGAAGCGCACAGCCCTCCTCTCCCCTCCCCCGCCGCTTAACTGTATTCTGGCGTGGAGCTGCATGCTAACCGACGCACTCCCAGGCTAACAGCTGAATAACTCCAGTGTGTCACATTTTCAGCAGCCACTACCAGCGCCCGCATGCAAAGTCTTTTATTACAGTTGATTAGTCGCCACGCGGCTCGCAGAGGGTGATGCTGCTATTTTGGATTCATGACACAGCCCTTAAACCATGCCCGCCACAGCATCATAACAGCTCCCCAATATATTTCCCTGTCGGTGTCTCTCTCATGCAAACACATGCCTGAATCTATTTCTCTTATTCATCTCACACTGGGAAACATTCCGTGTCACCATCTTTCTTCGCGCTCACCGCAGAGACCAGCAGCTTCTCTCAGACTTGGCTTTAATTGCTCTGACCTATTTTTCTTTCCTCTCTGCTCATAAAATACTTCAATTCCCAGAAGGTACAGCTTCACGGCTCCTTGTTCCCAAGCAGTCTTGGGGTCTCAGTTGGTTTAGAATGTAGGTGCACAGCTTGGCAAGTTTAGGCTCTTCCTGTAATCACACCTGACTGAAGTCTTAATGACCCGTCTCAGTATGTGTTTGTGTGTCAGCGTGTTTGTGTGTGTGTGTGTGTGTGTGCGTGCGTCTCAGTTTCATCTCAGTTTCATCTCAATCTGAACCAGTTCAGTCATCATGATGACATATGGCCTTCTTTCATGGCAACAGGCCCATGTTTCATCAGCACGGTCAGCAGTTCAAGAACTAGCCATCATGCACACAGAAGTACACACACAAACACACAGAATCAGCTCAGCTGACCAGTCCCCCAAAGGTCGGATTACCTTTGATGAGTTTCGCCACTACCCTCGGTGTAGTTTAACATCATCTTTTGCAACCTCTGGCTTTGCCACACCACCTTCACACAAAGATCCTGTCAATAGTGTGTGTGCGTGTGTGTGTGTTTTTGCCGGTAGTGGCTTGACCTCTGGGAAGCTGCAGTGTTTATGTGAGACGATGTTCAGCACACAATGGAGTGAAGATGCTTTGATAAACTCTGATTCCATCTCTGTAAGAGATTTGTGTGTGCTTCTTCGGGGCAGCTGAACACCCATGATTCCTGTAGGCAAAGAAATTATTGCTCTACAAGTATGTGCTGCCTGCATGCCGTTAGGTGATAAACACACCGCACTTCTCATGATTACTTGAAGATCAAACTTATCTAAACAGCGCCCAGGAAAAAAGTCAATGCTCAATACCATTTTTCAGTCTAGAAGTTTTTTGCATGATGTCATTCTGTTCCAGGTAGCTGCGCAAACATTTCATAGAGTTCCCTTAAAGGCCTTGTCTGTCTAGATTTCTAAAAATGCGATGCATGAATGGTGCCAGCTTTTCCTTTTCATCGTGGATCAGGAATCATAGCACAGATTGTTTAGCACTTCAGCAGAGAGTCTTGACAATCAGTAGAGCCGTACTGAATGCTGTTGTTTTTTTCTTTTCTTTTTTTAGCTGACACTGGGAGATAACTATCTGTTTAGTTTTTTTAATTATCCTCAGCTGTGTTGAGATGATTGTGACTGGCTCGCCTAAACTCTTTTGTCTTCCTCACTCGAACAAAATGGCTGTGCTTCGGCAGAGGGGGTGAAAAAAGCTCATTGCTTTCTGGAACCCGCAGAGCAATGAAGAAGAAACGATGCAAAATTAGGTTTAAGCAGAGTGCTGTTCTATGAAAGGGATTTGGTGGATTAGTGAGCCAAGTTGAGCTGAAAGTCAGTTTTCAGTATCACAAGGCTCGCTCTCCATAAACCGGGCTAGATCACCACGACAACTTAACCTGAGCGTCGTAACCTTCTCCGGAGAATACATTTTCAGGGTTTCAGTTTGGATGCCTCTCGCGGCTTCTGGCCCGGATGACATCCCAGACAGCCGTGCAGGATATTGAAAGCTGATGTCTGGCATTTAACGCAAATTAAAGCTCACAGCTGACCTTTGAACAGTCGCTGTGCTATAATTGTCTGACTTGCTGAAAATCAATAACTCAACCACCATTTTACAAGTGACGGCCCCGGTTCAACATTTCGATGTTGATTGAATCTTGGCATTTCAATCGGCGACATCATTTCAGGTCGCAGTCCACAAAGCGACTGACCAGAACTCCCCGTTAGATTAACAACTTCCTGTGTTGACTTTCAGCTTGAAGAAACAACTTCTTGACTCATTACGAAGTGCTTTGAGGTCACAATCAACCCAGTTTTTATGTTACCAAAATGGCCCATACATTCAGTCTGTCAGTGGGAATTGGTTAGCTATGTGTGTCCCAAATTTCCAGCAGATAGTTGACTGTTTTTGTTGGATGTAGCACACAGTAAAAAACAAGTTTGTTGGACAACTTAGAGATGAAGGAAGCACGTTTGTGCTGATGGCTTGTAAAAACATCAACTGGCTGTAAAATGAGTCTATTACCTTTGGCTTTGAGCAACTACAAACACTACAAAAGTAGTCTTCATATGGTCAGAAAAAACAACTTAGGCAGTAACGGCTTATTGTATAGAGGATACAATTTCTCACTTTACTTATCTTGACAATATTTCATATCAGATTTTTCCTGTTGTCTGATAAATGATTTTCTTGCTGCAATTATTTTCTTAAAAGTGCAAATGGTCCTTTGTGCTTGCCCGTTCAGTGACCTCCAAAGCATGTTCAGATAGGCCTCCGTTCTTCAGTATAGTTGTAAAATAAAGAGTCCTCCTGACAAGATTAGCACAGGCACTGCCTTGCTGTCGTCTCTTGTTGTCATGTCAACAAATGGGAGATGTGCTCATATACTGATGTGAAATAATGGAGATGGCAGCGCAAAATTGGACACAGTATGCAACAAATGGTTGCCGCTCTGCCGACATTACGCTTTGATTTTCAACCACTGTCATTTTAGTCAGTGTTTTCAATAATATTTGCACGTAGACTCAGAGAGAAAAATATCTTTGTATCAGTTTTAGACTCTCAAATTAATTGAGCATAATTCCCCCCTGTTTTCAATTTAGCACATGAACGTTATCAAATATTTTATAAAGTCAATAATATCTGCTTGTCTGACCGGTGCTACGTGTTTGTTTAAATAAAATTTGTCCCACACAAGTTCCGAGCAGTTAACACTGTTAGAAGTGCCGGGGATAAATAGTAAGTCTTCATTTTTGCTGTGTTCAGTAAATCATGGGCTGCTAAGCCACATGTTTGTGTGTACAGTGGTGACTTTTATTTGAAATGACTTTTATTTTAAATGGTCATGGTATGCGCGTGGGTGTTTTTGACAAATGATATCAGTATTTCTGGCTGGTAACTGTGCACATTGAAACCTGGCCACATGCTGCAGCTGTGATGACGCAGATGCAGCAGATGTTGATCTTGCTCAATATTGTTCAAGTTTAATTTGACAGCGACAAAAGGGAGCACACGTGAGAAAGTCATTGTTTAATGTAGGCACAAGGCACATAATTATGTTTGTACAATTCATTTTTATGTCTACATCAGTTAGGAGGGGATGGGAAAGATAATCTGTCCTGCTGGATTAACATATTGGTCACTGCTCACCTGTTTACATGCATTTATTTTAATGTAGAATTTGTACACGTTTAGTGAAATAAATCAGTTCTTTTCTTTCTTGACGTTTTCTTTGTGTTAATTCCCCACCAGATATCTGGAGTGAGCAGTCATTCCAGACGGACCCGGACCTCCCTCCAGGATGGAAGAAGATCACAGACATGGCCGGTATCTACTACTGGCACATTCCTACAGGCACCACTCAGTGGGAGCGTCCCGCCATCCATCCTCCTCCCCCTGGACAGGCCGAGTCACCAGCCTTAGGGGATCACGACGCTTTGACGCCACGGAAACACTCCCTGGGCTCCCTCAGCCCCTCACCCACTCCCGACCATGAGGCGAGTCTTGGTCTGTTTTTCTTGAGTGTGATCAAAGCACACACCCAGTTGTACCGACTCAGCTCAGATTTTCGGGCCGTCTTGCTCTTACGGACTCACTTGTAATGGAAAGCGGCCTGAGCTGAGTCAATTAGAGATGGGCAGCTACAAGAGGAAAAAGTCCATTGGTCAGTGCCCACCCTAAAGTTCACACATTTTAAACTGCTGCTGTGCTAAATAAATTTGCACCCACATTATGCACATTGTACCGTCCACACAGGTGATGTTTGCATTTTGAAAACATTTTCTTTCACACAGTAGGGCTAGAAATCTAAATATTATCACCTGGTAAGATTCCTCCTGAGTTGGGGACCAAAGAGCGAATGTTTGGTCAATTTAATCCAGATTTCTTTCTCTGCAGTTGTTCTGTTGACACAAACACACACACAGCAGGGGGCTTTCCGATGGTAGGAAGGGAGGGAAGGAGGGAGGGAGGGAGGGAGAGAGGGGTATGCAGAATGGCTGTGCAGAGTGCTGGAGGCAGCGCATAATACAGAAATGACACCGTGTTTCCTTTACAACATGTTGGGAATAGTGATGAGGTTCCTTATTATCCGCTGTAACGGAGAGAAAGCAGATAGCAGCATATGGACCTGCAGGAGTCCAGCTAGTGGGAAAAAATGACTTGCCACATTCTAAAAACCCTTCGATACCGCAAATTAGCTGTCAATGTCAGCTAAGATTCGACAGCAGAATATGCCAAGTACGGTAATAGGCGCCGAATGCAGCATTATTGATCACTGTCTTTCTGTGTGTGGGTGTGTCATTGTGTCTGTTTGCATATGCATACAGTCATGCCAAGCAGAAGTCTTCTTTAGGGCATCAACTCGCTCCGGCAGCACCACCTCTGACAGTTCAGTGGAGCCTCTGTCCACTCACGAACCCACGCTGCCCACATGTGGATTTGTCAACAGCTGCTACTTTGTAAGTTTCAAATGTCTGTTGTTTTTTGTTTCTCCGGTACTGGTACAGCATTAGTGGTTGATTTTAAGGAATAAGCCCAAAAAGTCTAAAGCCATTAAAGAGTAATGATTGTCATTACTGTCCAGTCCAGCCGCAGATGAGCTCAATGCAACAGTCAGTCAGTCAGTCAGGTATAGTGATGGATTTAAGTGGAGAAGGGGAAAAGGAGGTTGATAGAGAGCAGCAATGTGTAGATAAAATATTGATCCGGTGGGAATGGACCCTTGTTGACAGATTGAGTTGCAGCAGTGAGATTGCGGCGCATTTACCGCTGCCTGTAGCTACTGACACCAGAGCCAAAATGGCAGTTGGATTAGCAGCGGTTTCTGTGTATATATTTTTTTTCCAAATCCTCAGCCAGGACGTAGTATCACAGATGAGGTCCCTTTCACCCTCTATCTCCACAGCCTCGTTCCACATCTCTGCAGGGGATCCTGGATCAAGAATGCCGCTCACAGCATGAGGAAGAGGACGACAAGGTTGGATAATCAAACATTCCCCATTCTTCTCCTTTAGTCCTTTAAATGAATTTTGAAGTCTACTTACAGGGCAGATCAGAAATGCTTGTTATTTACAGTTTTTTATACTGTATTGCTGCCTATGTTTAGTCATCATACAGTGCATTTAGTATAAATTTGGACAGAGACTTTAATGAGGACTGATACATAAAGCAGCTTTTAATGAAGTTTCTTTTTCATGCAGGAAAAAAGTAATGTACTATATCACCTTCTTATTGGGGTTACAAGGTTTCATGTTAGATTCATTCAACTTGTCACTGTGTCTGTGCTAAGGTCAATGTTTGATAAGAGCTAAACAATCAGAGAGAACATTCAAATAGTTGGCAGACTGTCCTTGGTCTGTTCAGAGAAATTTTAGACACGTTTTGCCGTTTTGCTCCTTATTGCTGCAGCCTCCACGTGTGGAGAAAGCTGGCTAGTTAACAACCCTGTTTTATCTGTTTCCTCTCCTGCTCCCCCTCCCGCCTTTTGACTCCCAATTCTCAACCCGCCGCTATTTGTGTTTGTGTTCAAACGCCGTGCGTAGAAACAGGTGTGGAGTGAATTCGGAGGGAAAATTGATAGTGAAGTGTGGAAGGCAAGTATAAAGCACTCCCTGTCAGCGAGCCTCGTTCTCAGCCTAACCTCACCCATCCTTCACGCGTTTGCATCTGTGTATGACGTGCTACAATCCACCGCTGGGGCAAGAAGCATGTGTGGCTGATGCTTCGACATAAACATAAACGTTTTGCATTTTATGATGCTTGCAGTGGCAGAATATGCCTGTTATTTGGCTGCAACTACACATTTAACAGGTTGTCTCTTTCTTTAGTATAATAATGTTGTCTTTTCTGTCCTCCTGATGCAAATATGAATGAGCGTGTGTGTGTTTGGGTACCTGATGTCTGTTGACTTTCCTTCTTCCTGTAGCATGCCCTGTCACACATAATGCATAACCATCATTTCTTCAGCCAGGAAGGACACTCCACCCACACTGGATGCATGCTAGCATCAAAATATTTATGCTTGGTTTTTGGTGACCCAAAAGACATATAAGCCTTGAGTAAAAAAATAAATAAAAATGTTTTAAAGTTTTTTTTGAGGGGGGGCAATGTTTTCGCTGCACCAAAAGTGCAAGCATCAGCATTAGCATTGTTGTGTAAGCATGGTTTGTTTGTTTTTTGTTATTTTTGTGTATTATTTTTCCCCTCCTTAACTGTGTGTGTGTGTGTGTGGGAGAGGGGGGAAATTCCAGTTGGGCATGTGGGGGAAAAAGTGAACATCATACTTTTAAACAATTTGCAATCACTTGAAGTTTTAAAAGAACGTGCATTCATACTAGATATCCAATTGCATCTCTTTGCATTGTGGAGTGCTTGTTTGTGAGAGTCAAAAGGCTGCCATGCCAGCAGAGCAGAGACCAAATATGACACAAGAATCACAAAGGAGTCTTTAGAGCCAAAGAGCACTGTTTATTTTGGTGTTATTTCACACCCTGACAGTGTCACTTGTCTTCATCAGGACCTGCAGGCAGCCACGGTGAACCCTGACCCTAGTCTGAAGGAGTTTGAGGGGGCCACACTTCGTTACGCATCTCTCAAACTGAGGTGAAATACGTGAATAGGATTATATGAAAGAGGCTTGAGAAAACTATCTTTTTTTTTTCTTTCTTTTCCCCACTCTGGCGCTTTGTGTTAAAGTAAGTAGCTGTGAGTTATTTTTATCCCCGCCTGATATATTGGAGGTTATATGACCTCCTCTGCTCACCTGCTGAGATTGGCTCATCCTTAATCAGGGTGATGCATTCCAGTGCCTGAAATCACACAGAGAGAAAATACTTTAACGATGGAAATGATAAGTTAGACAATTTAGTAATGATGGCATCTCTTATGCATACAAATATATCCTTTTTTCCCTTTTTTTTTTTTTTTTAGGAACCGTCCAGCTGTGGAAGAAAATGAGTCCAGCAGTGTCAACAGTGACCCAGAGGCTAAGGTGAGGCACCTTTTCTGAGTTTTGGTGCGGTTTAAAGCCTTCAGTCTACACATAACATTCAGATTGATTTGCAGATTTGTTGGCATTTCCTTTGACATAACCGTACCAAACATGTGTGGCTGCCTTAATCTGTCTACTTCTGCACATTGGTAGTTTCTCTGGCCTTGTGTTTAAACCTTCTCTAATCTTTCATTTAAACAGTGCGCATTATAGTCGTTACTCTTGTGTTATGGTGTGGTTTTGGGTTGTGTGGAGTTTTTATGCAGATCATGGCGACTGTCTGTGCTTTCTTCTGTTGTCAAAGGATAGCTGAGCGACACTGCCCCCTAGTAATACAACAAGACGGTGTTGCTGCTTATTAAATCAGCCACCATGTCCCTGAAAACCTCCTGTGCTACATTCAAGAGAGACATTTAAGCTTTTAGGGGCTCAGGCTTATTGGTGCTGGTTAGCTAGAATCGTTAAGTCTATAGCCTCATGTATTGATTAATTAATACCACGATACCATAATTAATACCTTTATCTTAAATTAGGACATCTCCATCCTCCAACCACTGCTACAGTCACTTAAAGATACAGACACCTAAAAGCACCCCAACATATCATATGTACCTTTTTTTAGATGTATTTTTTTCAAATTTGTTAATTAAACTGTCCTGTTGCGGTGGGATGCCACGTCACATTCCTGTCTACATTTGGCCAATAAAGTGATTTCTGATTCTGATGTGTTGAAGACAAAAATACATTCCTACAGCCAGGCTTCTGGACTGATAAAACACTGACAGATATGTGGCAGTAAACTGCCTTTTACACTGTCTGGATTGGAAATATCTGTTCCCTCCAAGTGCAGGAGTTCCAAATAATTTCAAATATTTTAAATTGAATCAAATCCAAAGAGCCCACTTCACATCTTATCATGTCAGTGACACTTTGTAAACATAGAATTAAATCACCATCTTTTGGGAGAATCACAGGCATGATGCCTAATTACATAGTGCAAAAGCTGTGAATCACTCAGTCGTGGTTCAGTGCTTTTCCCATTTGTCATGATGTGTTGCTTCTTTTATTATTTCGTTGTGCTTCTTTTCTCCCCATTTATCTTTTTTGAGGAAAGGAATTCTCAGACAGAATATCATCACTTTTCACTTGTCACTTCTCTGACTTCTGATTATCAGGATGGAGCCTAATCGTATCCAATTGTCTTTGCTCATTCCGGGGAGATAAAAAAAGGCATCTACATGCCTTTATTCAATGGATGGAATGAGAAATTTGTCCAAAATTTGAGTGACCTATGTAGGGGCAATAACTGCCATTTCCTCCTAAACATTTGTTTTGAGCTCAGTCCACACGATATGAGATATTCTTTGGTTGACCTGCAGTTTTCACCTTTATTTAAAAGCTTTTGTTTGAACTAATTTGGGGGCAAAAATAAAAAAGTGAGTGTGAACATATACCATTTTCTGCCACACTTGGAAACGAATGGTTTTCTATAAGGACTTTCAGAATTTGTTTGCCTCTTTTTTGTTTTGTTTTGGTGGCCTTTAAAGTTGACTTTTTTCCCCGAATAAAATTGACCGATGGAACATCATCTTCGATTGGGGATGCCACTTTTTTTACAGGAGTTCGTAGTTACTTCTTTACACTGTGTCCTGCTGGTCTCTGCCTCTGTGTTAGTGTGACCTACATAGTCTGCTGAATATTTTCTAAATGGACAGATGAAGCAAATGAATACTTGATGAGGGCAGAGGCACACTTTTCTCTTCTGCCTTTGTCTCCAACTGCCTCTGCGCTTGGTCTTTTGTGTTATGTTGACCTGCCTCATCTTAGGATGTTTGCAATTTAAAAAATGTGAATTGAAATGAATTTTAAACTGTTTTTTTTTAAATAGTAGTAAAGCATTTTTTTTAATTTTTGATGCAAAGAAAGGCCATTAAACTAATTGATTGAAATAATTATTTAAAGAGTAAGCGTAAAGATTGTATAAGTGTCCCTCAGAGGGAAGGACACGTTTTTATGTTTATGATTGTGCATGCCTTCTAGTGTTTTGCAGTGCGTTCTTTGGGTTGGGTGGAGATGGCTGAAGAAGACTTGGCTCCCGGAAAAAGCAGTGTGGCTGTCAACAACTGCATCAGACAGCTGTCATACTGCAAAAACGACATCCGGGACACTGTCGGTATCTGGGGAGAGGTGAGGATGACCTAGAATTAGTTTTGGTTTTGGGATATAAATTTCAAATTCATAGACCTTGAATTATAATGAAAGCTGAGTAATTAGATTTTTTTTTTAAAGTGTAGTGTAGAGGAAAGTAAACGGCAGCACAAGTAAATAACAGCCCTCTGAAATGTATGTCCAGAGGTGGAAGGGGGAGGAGGAGAGAGGAAAGTAGAGCAATGTTAGAAAGTCTTTTCCCCTCTGCAGTGGTTCTATCTAATGTGAGGTGACAGAAAGCAGAGGAAGAGCTCCATCCCTCTTTCAGTAATGTTTTATCCTGCACCCCCTCCTTTTAGCGTTTTATCATTTATTCAGAGGCCCTCTAAGCTAGAGAACACACACACCTAAGCAAACACACACCCACTGACTTTATTAAATAGATTGGATACATGCAGTGGGCAAAAATGTTTCATAAGTAAGCAAATAAAGTTTCTGATGACCTCATCCCCTTTATTACTACGACTCCAGATGCAGGAAATGAGGGCCGCATGTTTTTTTTGTTTTTTTTTAAGGATGTAATCTGAAGGATTTGTTTGTTTTTTGTGACCGTGTGTGTGTGTCTTGGTGCCCAGGGGAAAGACATGTACCTGGTGCTGGAAAATAACATGTTGAACTTGGTTGACCCCATGGACCGCAGTGTGCTTCACTCTCAGCCAATAGCAAGTATCCGGGTCTGGGGCGTTGGCCGGGACAACGGCAGGTTAGTTATACCGTCATCACTTTTAATCCATTATTTGTAAAATATGTTTGTGATCCGGACTTAGACCCCAAACCGGGGTTTTACATCACGTTTCTGATCTTTGAAAATATACCCGGAGAGATTCCAGTGCTCAGAGGGCAACAGCTTCTTTCTGTTTAGATGTTTTTGAATACTTGAACTGATTGATGAACGAATGGAGATTCTCCCACAAATACTCAGCAAAAGGTCACGGTTTCAAATGAGGGCAAGCAGACAGATGGTGATGTGACAAGGTGAGGAGGGGAGGCGATGAGTGATGAGGAAAACATGCTAATGCAAGATTAATTAATCAAAGGACAAGAGGAGAGGGAAAAAACAATGGCCTTTAGTGTCTTTCACCAGAAATCCCCGCTTGATTCCCTCTTAACTGAAGGTGAAGATGAAAGTGCTGCGGTCCTGCTCAGTGTCCATTAGAGGGAGCTGTGCCCTGCTCCAAACTCCAGAAAAACACCCTCTGTGGCTCATCAACCACAGTGGAGTGATGTGAACCACCACGGATGATGGTTGCTGTACAGTCTGAACTGGTTCACGCAGGCACTCACAGACACAAAAGCACAACACTCACTCACACGAGAGGGGAGGCGAGGTTTAAATCCCCCCTCGAATATGCAGAGGAGCAGACCCCGCATGCCTCTGGGATCTGCGTCTGTCACTCACACAAAAAACCTTGCAGGCTTTGATGTTGCATTGTATTAAAAACCAAAAGTCAGTCTGGGGTACGAAGCAAAAGTGTGTTTCCTCCACTTTATTTGTTATTCTGATGTCAACATCTACATATAACAGGGGGGTTTGAGCAGTGTGAATACTTTAGCTGCAGCAAAGGGAGGAGGCAAAGAGATGGTTGGAGGGAGGGGAGGAGAGGGGGAGGAAGCTGCCAAAGGGGACGTATGGTTAGTTCTCTCTGGGTGTGGATCAGACAGGTTAAGGAGAGTGTACGAGCGTGCAGGATCTCCAGGAATTGATGGTTCCGATTGTCCAAAAAGGTGCCCATTAACAGGATTACCTACCAAGATAGGAAAAAAGACCACTGTGAGTATAACTGGAATCAAAATGTTCTTATTTAGTTTTTAGAAGAGAGTGGAAACTGAGGCCCATGGAAGTGTAGAGCAGATATGTCTCAGAAAATAGTCGCTCTCAGTCTTAAAAACAGCTGATTTGAGATGTTTCCGTATTTCACAGGAAATCGGGTGAAGTGAAAAATGTGTGTCTGTGTTTGCCTTGCTTGATGTTTGTTTTGTTAATTTTCAACACTTGTGTTTTAAAGAGGGAAAGGTTTTGCTTTTCAATCCCGGGACCCCCTAGAGTCATCGCCTGTGCGTAACAGAAAATAAGCACCCACATTTCCCTCCATATCGTTAACCATGCAGTGAAGAGATCCGGTTGACTGACTGCTTGCGTTTGCGCCGTCTCATACTACATTTATTTTGAAATCATCTACTGGATGTGGGGTGCAGTAAGACATAGTAAGGAAACCTGGCTGGTGCAGTGATTTTCCCCTCTATCGCTCGCTATCTGTCACACACACTTGCACAGTTTTACATCCCTCTGAAAGACTGTCTGTGTCAGCACACAGACGGCACCCCAGTGCCTTTCCCTCTCTTCATATGCCTGAAAACTCATTATCACCACGGAGAATACAGGTCCCCACAGCAACCTTGACATTTGCCGGGGTGTCGGTATGAAACGATCATGCACGCAATGAGAGATCTCCCCCACTGCTCTGCATTTTTATTCCTCGGGTTGTTTTGGCTTTGATCTGCTCTCTGGTATTTTTTTTCCTTTCTGTCCTCATGCTTCATGCTTTTATCCATGTCTTGTAAGATACTGTTGAATCAGTTCGAACTTAACTCCCACACAGGACACTTAAACCATATATATATAGCACTAAAACTTTTAAAATAGTATCGTAAGATGGTTCAGTTTATTTTGAATAAGTAAAGAAAAAGAGGTAAAAATGTCACTCATATTTTTTAATGTATCTATCTGAAAGGTGTTTTCACAACTTCTGACTTGTTTTTTTCACTGCAGATGTAAAGTCAGGCCAGTTTTTTTCCTTTTAATCTATTAACTGCACTCTTTTCTTCCCATGCCTCCATGGATACAGAGAGAGGTAAAGACATTCCTTGCCCACGACGAACCTCCTCCAGAGTCTGTCATTTATTTATTCTTTAATTTCCTCTGTGCCTCATTCTTCTCATCTTTAGAGAGGGACTTAGATAAATGTACTTCTGCGCACGCTGTTACAGAAATGTCAGGAATGAAGGTGACCCTCCCCATGTCTACAACCCTTTTTATTTTTTTGTCTGTTTTTGATTTAAGAGTGCATGTGCAGGCATTTATGGAGGAATAGGAATATTTCTTCAGCAGCTGAAGGACGTTGTCTGAAGGTTTATGTTCATTTTTGAGCAACTTAAATCACAAGCGTGTTTGTTGCCTCGGTTTAATTTAATGCAGCAATATCTCTACCTCAAAATATTCTGCGCCCTCCTGGTTTTCTGTGCTCCTCTATATATCTGTTCAGAGGAGTTAGATTGTTTTAGGCTCCAGTGGGCTCAGTGGGATTCTCTGTCCTGCAGTCACTCTATTCAGCTCATCTTTCACCCTGCCGCTCTTCTGATCTCAGGGGTCCATCAGCTTTTGTGTGTCTTTGCGTGTTTTTGTATTCATCACTCAAATAAAGGTCACTTCATCTGTCCTGAAGACCTGTATGTGTCAAAAGTGGACATAAATGCCTCATGACTATGAAAGATGACTCCATAATCCAGTTTTCCAGACTCAGTATTTTCACAAAAATTAGTCCAATACATAATTTTTCTCATTAGTTTGACATTTTCTTGGTTTCTCGTCTGTGTAGGGACTTTGCGTACGTGGCGAGGGATAAAAACACCAGGATCCTGAAATGTCATGTGTTCCGCTGTGACACACCAGCCAAAGCCATCGCTACCAGCCTGCATGAGATCTGCTCCCGGGTGAGTTGTTCAAGGTCTGCTTTTGTAAAAAATAAATGAAAAAGAAGACTCAAGCATGTTTAGGAATGGTTTTCTACAGTTTGAATGCCTTTTCTTAAATACAAACAAACTGACCTCCATCTGTAAAGGCAAAAATAACCATGTTCATGTTCAAGAACAGCTTCATGCTGTCGTTGCCAGGGAAATGAAAAGACATGACAGTTGAGTGCTTCGTCAGGTTTACTGTCACATAGTCAGACCACCCATACGTATTCATTTAAAACAGGGCTGGAGACCAGCATTCAAAGAGACCTTTCCTTTATTAAAGCTACTGTAAACATTGTGTAGACAGACTTTCTTTTTGTCTCTGCAAATTGAGTGGGAGAGCTTTGATTTTGGGTTGGGAAAGATTCCATGTTGTTTTATTTTGTTTAGTTTTCTCCATTTATACTAGCTGCATTGATTTCAGTGCTCTTCAGCCAAATATAAAACAAACCTATTCAGACTCATCACACAAAAGAATAGAATAACAGAAAGGTGTAGAATTGATTACAGTTTCACAAGTTTCATGCAGTTTGGCTGGGACAAACTCTCTACCAAGGATATATCTAAAGTAAGTGTAGTGTTTCCAGGCTTGTGAGAGTGAATGGTATGAATGGCTTGTCGGTCTGTTCTGTTCTGTGTCTCTGTTTGAGCTTCACTACTTGAAAAGCCTTTGTTGTGGTTAGAAGACCTAGTGTCCCCATGCTTCTAAACGCGTTTATATCTGTGCTCTACAGGTGAAATTGGTTCACAGTATGACAGTATTCAGAGCAAATCTGCTCTTGGTTTCCAGGAGCTCTTTTGTATAAATAGTTTCTATGCTTCTGCCTCCCTCTTTATTCACACATTCTTATCTTCGCTCTTTCACTCTCCTCCTCCGTATCTCTACCATGCCATATCAATTCTGCTAGATTTTCTTATTATTCCTTTTCTATGTGTTCCCTTTCTTTCCCACAGATAATGACTGAACGAAAGAATGCAAAAGCAATGGCAGGAGGTTCTCTGCAGGACAGGATGCAGGCAGGACTGGATCTTCCCCTACAAGGTAGGTTTCATACTTGTCCATATATCAACTCACTGCATGAGTGTGTGTGTGTGTGTGTGTGTGTGTGTGTGTGCATGAATGTGGCATGTAGATGCCTCATAGTCTCCCAAGAACCGTTTTTGTCTATTAATTCTTGAAATTCTTCAATAACAGCAAGTTGGGAGTTCAATTACGGAGCCTAACACAGTTTTCAAGATTGATTTTGCGATAATCCAAGTTGTGAAAAACACCCATTGGTGCTTTCCAGTCAAACAAAGCTGTTCACAAAAGTTTAACCATAATTTCCACCTTTTTTCCCCTCACGTTGGCTCATTGCCATCTGCAGGAAAGTGTGAAATCTACAGTTCTATTTCATCCCTACTGACCGCCAGAGGCGGTGCTTCAAGCACCGCCTCTGGCGGTCATCCGGGATTCATAGAACCGTAGTTACGGTAGTAACTTTCGTTATCCACCATAAGCCAAATGGTGGCGACCTACAAGTGCTTGTTTGCGTGTTGTACGCTGGTGGTGCTGGTCAGCTCACCTCTACTCTGTCAAGTTGCCAGCCAGGATGCACTTTCCAGTGTTTTCTATAGGCTGTGTAGGAGAGGACTGTTAAACAGAGTAATACTTCAAACATGCATATATATTTTTTATGAAAAAAACTTTATCTGTTAATGGCCAGCTGCTGCCTTTAATAATAACATTTCCTTCGGTTGGCATATTAATGGCGAACACAACAGAGTAATTTCTGTGTTGACAAAACGGTAGAAATAAAACACGCTGACTTTGAATGATCATCAGCAAATGAGAACACCTCAAATAAAATAATTATGATAATTTTCCTCATCTGGCGCGTTCAAATGAGTATTCACGCAAATGTCAAAATAAAAAAATGGATATCAGCAATAGCTGTAATAAATCAAAGAAGAACATTTTCATTCTTCGAAGTGGAAAACATTCAGAATTCAAAGCGGACTTCAAAGCAGTGGACGCCTCAGGCTGTGCAATGAGAATAGTTGGTTAAAAAAGGCTGTAATGTGAGGAGAGGGCTCTTCTCTGGCAGAATGTGATCGTAGCTCCACAGCTCTGTGGCAAAACCAGACACAGCATACGAAAATGCTGTTGAAGGGCTACGCGTTCGATTTTGTTCTGCAGACACGGCCTGGACACAACAAGCTCGTCTATGAAACAAAGTCTTCAGACTCGAATGTGAGACATAATACTGGGCTAAAAGCAGGTCAAGCCACACCACAAACCCAACAGCTCCTTATGTACTCCAGATGAGCTAAAAGTCAGGACCTTTTGAAGAGGGGTCAATAAACTGTCTGCTAACCTCATTTCACCACATTAAACTTTATTGCGCGTATTAAAGAAACTTTTTAATGGAAGCTGATGACAATTCTGCTGTCTTTATACTCATGATGTACTAAACTTTACAAACCTTTTGTAACTGATTTCTCGCTTGTTGAAGAATATTCTTGTAGCCTTCAAAAATATTGCCAGCATTCAAAGTGTTCCTCATGCTGTGTCTGCTGAGTTTGTTAGCATCCTCCTCCTTGCGTAGAGCTTTGCTCGTGACGCTGACATCATGCAAAATGGAAGTAAGCTGCTCTGTGATTTGTGTGTACTGCGATGAAATCCGGTATTGTATGCGGAAAAAAGGAAGCGGTTTGTGCACCTCCTCAGTTTTCCATCGACTTCCTCTTTGCAGAATTCCCCACACCAAAGACGGAACTGGTTCAGAAATTTCAGGTGCTATACCTTGGGATGTTGCCTGTGGCCAGACCAATAGGTCAGTATTACCCCCGCCTCCCCCCCAAACACACATACAAATGTACATTAAAGGGAAAAGAGTAGATTATTTCTCTTAATGTGTTCCTTTTAAATGTTTCTTTTCCCCCCTTCAGGCATGGATATACTGAATGGAGCCATAGACAGTCTTATTGGCTCTTCCAACAAAGAGGACTGGACTCCAGTGGCCCTTAATGTGGCAGATGCCACTGTCACCATCAGCAAAGAAGAGGTCAGACACACCCCCGCTTCCCCGTTCACCTCACCAACTTAATCAAAGACGGAATAGCATCTGAGGGATAGTTGAGGTTGTTTTATCACCTTGTTTAGGGGGCCTACCGTGTGTCGCTACAGACCCTGAGTGAAAAAGAGATTACTGCGCCAAAAGGCACGAGAGTTGATTCGATTCTCTCAGAATCTGGCACAGTTTTTTCCATGTCATTTTGTGAAGAAAAGTACGGTTGTCTCGCAGCTGATTAACAGCAGCGAATTAAGTCTCCTCCTGATATCGCTCACCATGCAGATGAGGCACAGTATGTGTTTGTTTTCCCAAGAATAAGTTGTAGCTTTGGTAACAAGGCACTTCCACGCCAGCTGCTCCAGCTGTGTCACAGACAGAACTGAGACTGCTGGGACTTTTACTGACCAGCTTCCCTCTTTATGTTTCCTAAATGTAGCTACTTCAGCCAAATGGTCCCTTTCCACTGCGATGCTCTTTTATTTCAACAAATTAGACGCATAAAAGTTACACACCAGTGACATTTTTCCCCTTTCTGTGCACGACCAGGATGAAGAGGAAGTGCTGGTGGAGTGCCGTGTTCGCTTCCTGTCCTTCATGGGCGTTGGCCGTGACGTGCACACCTTTGCTTTTATCATGGATGCCGGTGGTCACCGTTTTGACTGTCATGTCCTCTGGTGCGAGCCCAACGCTGGGAGTGTGTCTGAGGCCGTGCAGGCAGCTTGTATGGTGAGTCCAAAGCACCGTCTCCTAAACTCAGACATGCTACACTAAACTAAATCTGATTGGTTGAGCGAATAGATAGTGGAATGTTAGTCGTTGATGCAGATTCATACTAAGTTGAAGGTGTTCAGTTAGCTGTGAAAACTTCACGTGAGCACGTGTTCATGAGTGGAATTATAAGTACTAGAAAACTGTGCAAACACACAGGTGTTTGGGATAATTTGTCTGACTCTATTTAGCATTTAGGCCTTTATTAGGGCCTGAAAAAGCATCTGCAGTGCTTTTGCCACAAAGTAGCCCGTCAGAGAAGGCCGTGTGCTCTCCTCCTCTCTGCCGTGTGACTTACGGCATCAGGTTGACTACAGGTCGGGCTATTGATCACACATCTAAACTTTGGATATATGATCACGAGAACACATGCGCGCAGAACCTGATTGACGGCGGCCCGAATCATCAGTCATCACTATTGATCCCAGCCAGCATCCTGCACCAGTTCAGCTTCCCTCCCTCCTTCTCCCACTCGCGCCCCTCCACAGACGTACACTCAGCAGCTGTAACTCTCTGTTATTTACAGTGTGTCTCTTTGTCTTGCCACCCACCCCTGCCTCCCTCCTCCTTCCCTCCCTCCCTCCCTCTGTGTCTCTCAGCTGCGGTATCAGAAGTGTCTGGTGGCTCGACCGCCCTCCCAGAAAGCCAGCGGCTCCTCGCCCCCCGGGGACTCCGTCTCCCGCCGGGTCTCCACCAGCGTGAAGCGAGGCGTTCTGTCTCTCATTGACACTCTCAAACAGAAGCGGCCCGTCACGGAGCTGCCACAGTAGCCGCTCTTCATCACCGTGGTAACTCCTCGCATCACCCGCAAACAACCCGTCACCGCCACAGAACCCCCACCCCGCCCGCCCCCCCGCAGTCATTGAGAGAAAAAAAAAAGAACAGCAAAGCCCCAGGGTTCGGGGAAACGTGTAACAGCGTTTGATGGGAGCGGTTTGGATTTTCGATCAGCTCTTGAGCCGCTGTTCGACTCCCGAGAAGAGTCCAGACTGGCTTCCCCACAGAGGGATTGAGCAGCCAGGAGGAACGGCTGTGTGGCTGTCACCAAGACGGCGGTGTACATAGAAGTAACTCTCATCCCCCCTCAGCACAGAGTAAGGAAAAGAGAGCCAAAAACTGAAGTAGGAAGTGCACCTTAAAGCGTGGCTGGTGAGAGTGAGCTCTCTGCTGGTCTCATTGTTGATCTCTCCACGCTCTTTTGTGTACTGCGTCTGTGCTGCCAGCATGACCTTCCACCACAGGTCTAACCCCCCCCTCCTCCCACCATCACCCGGTCGTCCTGTTCGTCTGCAGTGGCTTACCTCCCGCCTCGGGACCTCCCCCTCCCTACCCTTTGTAGACTTGAACTTGACAGCTAAAGAAAAAGGGGTAACCAAAAGCCATCCCGTTCTGTTTCCCACATTGACGAAGAGTCACGAGTGGAAGAGCGACAGAAGCTGCTACAGACCTGTGAGATTTGTCGGCCCGCCCCCTCGAACCTGTTCACCTCCTCCTGCATGAACTTTTGAATCTAAATGTGAGCCATTCTAAGCGACATCAAAACACTGCTGCTGCTTCCAGAGACTGAAGGGACGAGCAATCAGCCGGTCACGCCGATTCCCTCTCTCGTCCTCGTAGTCGTTTGCATAAGAGTCAGCCCCGGAGGGTCAGAACGAGCGGTGACGTTTCACCCGAAACATTTTTCACGTCCTTCCTGTTTACCTCCTTTTTTTTGTATTTTCGACCTTCGGAAAAACGGCAGGCGAGCCACAGAGGGATAGAGACACAATACCGGGCAGCGTTCACCACCAGCCTCCTCTCCCCCTCTCTGCTAAGCAGTCCTACACCACCGCTCCAGAGTCAGGAGACATCCGCCTGCTGCTGCTGCTCCTCCATGCACATGCTGGAGGAAATTTGAATGATTATTCCTTTAAATCCCATCACAGTATTGGTCCTCAGAGACTCCATGTCCACTAATAAAAGAGGATTGCCTGCGGAAAGAGAGAGGAGACTTGAGGAATGTGTTTTTATACCTGGGTTTGGAAGTAGTTTTTTTTTTTGTCTTTGTCTATATCTTAGAAATCGAGGAAGCCATTTTTGCCATCAGGCTCGATCGTTTTAGAGAGAAAAAGCGGAGAAAGAGAAGCATGGACTGAACCTCGCAGGACTCTCCCGGGCTGCTGCGCCTCTCCAAGGTTCTTCTCACTTGAACGCGCTTTCCTGCATCTTAAACTCCATTTTGTTTGTTTATTTTCGCCTGCGCCACGGGTCACACTCACTTATGGCCTGTTGTGAGAAGTCCCTCAGACAAATCTCAAATCGCCACAACAAGCTCTGAAAGACCACATATCGATCAAGGTTAAATCCACGGTTGCGACAAAGGAAGTGATTTGTTTCAAGCCGAGAATACATTTCCCTCCTAGTGTTGTTAGTGTTGATAACTGCGATTGCTGTCATCAAATCTTGTTGAAATCTTAGAGATATAAAAAAAAAAAATCTAGGAAACATGGAGAACATAGACAACCAGTCCGGGTACAGACAGTGTTTCAGTTTCCAGATGCCCAGCAAATGTATGTGATTTGGTATTTAAAAGGAAAAAAAGAAGGAGATTGGAAAGTGTAAAAACCTATAAAAAATGAACTTGCTTGAAGCAGTTTTAGCTTGTTTTAGAGACTCGATGCACAATGGAACAACACGATGAACCGCGTCCGACCTAAGGATTAAACACATGCTGTGTAAGGCTCCACTGGAGCTATTTAATAAGTCGGGGCTTATCGGTGAAATCGCTACACTTCTGTGGCCAGAGGCGCAGAACTCCACGGGAACTGTTGACCTTTTACTGTCTATTTGAAGAAGCGGGGCTTTGATAGTCTCTGAAGCTAGGTCTACAGAGAGGTTTGGTAACACTAGAAGAACATCGGAAGGCAAATCAGCCGTGTTCGGGTGTCCCGTCCGACGCCCTGGTGTGTGGAGTCTCCATGTTTTCTGGGGTTATGCACGACCTGTGTCGGCCCTCTGCAAACCTGGAAATTTTAATAAAGCGGGTATGGAAAACAGTTGAACTGCATAATGGATAAGTAAAGAGAGAACAAAGATCTGTTTCCAGAGGTTTAAAACTTAATCGCTGTGGATAACTGGTTCTAATGGATTTCATGGTTTATACACCTCCCCACCTCCCTTTTTTTATTGATTTTATTGATTCATTTAAAAGAAAACTACTATAAATGTAATTATGTGACACTTCTTCCAGTATTTTTGTGCCTAATTAAGATGCACTGTGTGGAAAACGATTTGCCGGATGTTTGAGAGAAGATCAAGCATTCGCTTGTTGAAACGTGACTGCGATGAGAGAATTCAGTCCCATCACTTCCTGTTTCGCGAGGATGTTGAAATGTGAATGAGACGACGGCATCTACGTTCATAAATACCCATTAAGTGTATCATTTTGGAATTTCTCGTTGTTATAAGCTACCTTTTTTCATTTTTGAATGTCTTCATTTTTCTCTTATTTCTCATTATGAAATGCCTTTTTTATCCTTAGCAAATGGCCAAAGTGTAATATACTATAAACTTTATTGTAGATAAGAAGAGTAGGAGAGCAAATAATGAAAACGGTAGAGGCAACTGGAACTTCTCCCGGTTGCCACCTAAGTGGATACTGAATATAACTGTGCAATTATCTATGCATTCTTTGGTTCTGGAGAAAAAGGAAAGTCGGGGAAAAAAAGCCTTGCATGCCTGCCGGTGGTCGAAACAGAGGCTGTATGTATTGAACAGAAATATTTTTTATTTTATTTATTCTATTTTATAAAGGTATATACTGACTTTATTAGTTGGGGCAAGGAAAGTCTCTTGACGTCGTGGTCTCAGTCCCTGGTTGACGCTACAACGAGCTTTGCAGAACAAAAAGAGCAGACAGGAGACATAAATATATCCTCACCTTGTACAGAACTCACTTGGAGCTGGGGGTCCACCGCCGGCCTGAGCGGTCAGTGGAGGATGAGGGGAAGGAAGAGGGTGGCGGTGGACCCCCGGCGGTCCCGTCAAGCTCACATTTAAACAACCAACACACGCACAGGCACTCCATTTACCACAAATGGACGTGTTGGCTTCCATTTGCTGCTCACTGATTTGTACACTTTATCGATGTAACCAATTGTGAGAATAAACGGCATTATAAAATACACTGGGCGGCTCTGCGTGTGTGTGTATGTAATGTTTGTGATTTAATCTCATGCAGGATTCTGGCTTGAGCCAGCGTCTGCCTGTTTGTTTAATGACTCCAACAGAAACACAAACCCACAAACCAATACTTCATCTACAGGAGATGCTGAGAAACAAATGACAACGCAAATGGATGTGCAGGAAGGAATTTGTTATCCACACCGTACATAAATTAGAGAAAAGTCTTACCCGTTGATCTACTTCAAAGAATAGCAAAATTGCAAGAAGATAAAGCTTAAAAAAGAACAATGTGGGCGCACCTTTTCCTGCTGAGATTCTTTGTTTTGTTCTTTTTTGTTGTTCAGACTTTGACAGCGCTCTTTTCATCTTCATCATGCTTAGATTTTCCTCCTCCAGCAGCCTGGGGAGTCGTCTCAACCTGTACCGCTTTGTCCTCAGGCATTTGTGCTGACGCCTGTCAGGGATGTCTCCAGCATCTGGGCTCCGTGTCGTCGCATCCTCACTGTCAGGTCTGTCAGACTCACTGAGCCGAAATAACCCACCTCTGAATTTTTCACCTAACGCGCCGTAGAGCTTGACATTATGCATTAAGCGATTCTAAACGGCCCAAAGATCCAGAACAGAAGGTCTTAATGTTTGCAACTAATTTTCAGTTGATATCCCGATGAGCAAATTGATTTGCTCAACTTCCTGTGCAATTATCTCTTTAGCTTTGAGATCTTCCCAACTGAGCGAATTGAAGGCCACGATGGGCCATACGTTACTAGTATACTTATTTTTTAGATTTCCTTCAGGACAAGATACACTAGACCAGCAGATGCTTCCATCCTACAATTCCTTGTAGCCATTGCTTTCATATTTGCCAAAAATGCTATTTATGTGCATAAATAGGGGGATGATAGTTTGTGCGCAGCCTAATACAATCCAACCAATGTAAGTATCTAAAGCACCAACTTTGACAAAAGGTTGTCAGGTTGATATCGTAGACAGAAGTATTTTCATTAAAGATTTTCTGAGGATGCATATTTTTATTTGAACTATTAATAGCGACCATAACATAATTCACTGGTAAGATTTCTGTGCTCATATGCATATTATGATGCAATCTAGGTTGACTAAATAAATAAATAAATAAAAGGAGATTTTTAGATTGTTGCTTAAATACAAAAAAAATAAGTATCAATATTAACATTTGTCAGTTTGTTAAATTACTTTTGTGACATTTCTATCATGAAAGTAGTGTATAATCTGGTGAAAATCTGAAACCGCCTGCTCGAATTTACATATAAATCCAAACTCTTCTCAAAGGAGACAAAACGAAAAGTTAAGAATAAAGATTTTTCCAACGGCAAATAAATCGAGCTGTGATGCTGCCTGCTTGTGCCACAGATGGGACGATTGGCAGTGACAGGTTGACCCGCTAAGAGCCGGAGGCCTGAGAGGCCGAACCGTGGATTCTCCTGCGCGAGGCGCTCGGAGAACGGGGGGAAATGGGCGGCAGGATCCCGTCTCCTGTCTTGGTCACTTCCTGCTTTCTCACCACGTTCCTTGGTCTTTCCACCTGTCTGGGCTGTTTAGCGACGGGCGCCACTGTTCTCTTGGCGGCCACGTGTGGAGAACCAGGGGCGGAAGGGGGGGCCGGCCCGGGGTGCTTTTTGGAGTGTGGCGGGGGCTCCGATTTGACGGCCGGACTGCCGCTGATCTTGTGCGCCACGGCCGTGATTGGAGACAAGTGGCTGGAGGGTTTAGCCGCCGACATTAACGAGAGCGTGAGGCGGGGTATTCGTCGGGGTTTGCTCCTCATCTGCTGCCCCCTGTGATGCGATGGGTTGGCCTTTTTCGCCACCGGCTTCTTCCTGCGGCCCGTCGGCTGGACCTTCTGGCCGGTGGAATTGCTTTTGGTTTGTTTCGGATGCTTTTTCGCAACCTGTTTCCGCTTTCTCCTCTTCTTCTTCTTCGCCCCCCCGGCGCCGCTCACCTCCTCACCCGCCGCCTCCTCCCTTTCGTCGCCTCTCTCTTCTTCATCTTTCGAAGGGGTCGCTGAACCTCGTCCGTTTTCAGGCTCCGGCTCGGCCAGTCCCTCCTGGCCGCAGGGGGATGGAGGTTTGCTTGATGATGTAGTTTGATTCTTCTTTCCTTTTCCCTTTTTACCATTCTTTGATGGTTCAGGGATGATATTGCCAAGGAGGCCCTTGGCTGCTGCCCTGGCCAAAACATCCTGGACTGTTTCCACCTTAGTGGGGTCAGCCTGAAAAATAAATAAATAAAGGGATATGAAAATTAATTGTATACAGGTCGGTTAGACAATATCTTGGAGTCGATGCTGATGTCAGGGGTGTGGTGCTCAGAGTGACCACCATTTTCATATTGAACATCAGCATTTTGATTCTTTGGGACTCAAACAGAGCCCTTCCCTTTTCCAATAGCGGACACTATCCTGTCAGTTATTCTCCCTTAGGGTGTGGGGGGGGGGGGGGCTGTGGTAGCCTGAGCTTGATTTACTGTATCTGCTCATGTTGGGCCACTGTATTCAGACTGTCAGAACATGATAACGCACCTCTGGGATTGTTGGGTTGTTCGGATTACACAGGAGTCAGATTTCTCTGGAGGAGAGGGGTGAACTGGGTGTTTTGAGTCAGGGTCTTTAACTCATGGTGAAAGAAAAGAGCAGTTTGATAGCCTCTGTCATATCTCAGTAGGGGAAAAATTGTCCTTTGTTTAAGAGCTCTGGGCCTGTGCGTTGGCTCATAACTTTTTGGATCTTAAATGTTAGAGGAGAGAATTCCCAGTCAGGAATGGTCTACATCTAATCCCTGAACACGTTTAGTGAAATGATTCCAAGCTGTACACTCTGGATACTCTGTTACTCTACCATCACAAGTGCACGCTTCATTCTAAACGTTTTTTCCTTTTCCTGAAGTCGACACAATTTTTCATCACACATTTAGTCAGAGAGACAGAACAGCTAATGTACTTCTCTGTTAAGAGAGGGTCATCTGAGGGCGTGGAGTGACCCATTCATATTTTGAGATCAGACTACTCTGTACAGTTAGGAAGAGTTGCACTGAAGTGATCTGAAAATGACTTGATTTACAGTTCTATTGGAAGAAATGAATATTTACTTCATCTGCAGTGAGTCAGACCCCAACAGCAATGTCTGGCTCTTGTTAGTCTGAGTGTGATGAACCAGATTTAGTCAGATTTAGTCAGAAATTCCTTTTTTCACGACTCTAAAAAGCTAACAAAAATCCCTTCATGCCCATTTGCCATTAAATGTGGCACGTGACTTTTCCCAATGAATATCAATACTACTATTTACTGTCAGTAACCTACTCTTTTTTTTGTCCTTCTAGATCTGGTTAAATATTGTTAAAGTGGATTTTCGTTAAAACTAGGAAAACCCCTGACACCTCCTGGGCTATCTGATCTTCATCATGGGGAACACATGGTTAGAATTTGGCTAAAAAACATCAGTTTATAGTCTTTTTTAAAAACCAGTTATGTTCATAGGCACAGACATCACGTGAAACTGAATGTCAACGCGGTCAGACTTTAAAAAAAAAAAATATTTCCTTGCTAAGCTGGATGAGTGAGACAGCAGGAAATTCTCCAGTGTACCCATGTCTGGTTCGAAAGACCTGCACAGTGAAAATAAATCAAATCCCAGCCGGGGGGGCGGTCTCCAGTAAACAAACAGATTCTCTCATTTTCCCTGTTGTCCTAAATGGTCCTTGTGCCTGTCTCTTGGAGTTTGTGACTGTCCTTCATACTTCAGCTCACCAAGTACACTTTGTATATCTTGCAGCCACTTTTAAAACCATCCGAGCTTCTCAATGAGATTCAAATCCAGAAAACGGGAAGTAAAGAACAATCTGCCGACCGCTTCAGGAAGCTTGTGTGTGCTTTTAGTTGTGAATTCTGTGCCGCGGTACATAAAATCTGCTCGTCTGTGCCTGAGCCACAGCCACTACCTCTAATTGTGCATAAAAGCCGCTCTGCCGAAATGCTGCCTCCGGCAAGCTTTTCTCCTCAAATAGGTGTCGATATTTTCAAAATCGAGAGGTTCCGCAACATCACACCCGACTTTGCTTCTCTAAACTCCATTACACAGACCTCAATATTCTCACTGTCCCGTTTGCTGATTCACTCATCGGGGTCTTCTGCTGGCCATCCCCCCCAATACGACTGTGTTTTCTAATGTTTTTTTAAAACTTGATATTTTCCTTAAAGAAATATGTGTCTTTCTTTCACCAAGGTCTGCTTCCACCTCAGCTGTAAACTCGTATGTGATGCTGCCAGTCAGAGGGATCTGGGGTTGAAATGAGCAAGTCTCAAACTCCCTCTCTTAATGTTTCGACAGGAGAGGGCTGAGGGGAAATCAATCGAAGTGAGCTGACACAGAAACGTCATACATATATTTTCATGCACATTTATAAGTGTGTGTTCTTTTGTTATTCTTCATAAATAACAACTTTTCCGGCCTCTCTCATTCCAAAGCTAACTATTTTCTAAAAACTGGGTGCCTTTGGTTCTGTTCTCTGTTAGTTAATGTTGCCATCTAAGTAAGCATTTATCACTCCATAAGATGAGAGATCTTTAGTCTAGTTCTTATCATTTTGCCTCCTCCCCTTCATTAAGACTGGCGTCCTGACATAATGGATCAACTTAAAGGTCTCGTGATGTGTTTTTTTTCTTCCTATTTCTAAACATATCCAGGGAAAAACACAAAGAGCCATCTCTCAGAAACTATCGCTCCAGACTACGACAAAAGTCTGGCTCCTTGGAAGAAAAATTTTAAGAAATAATGATCGGCTAAAGGCTTGCAAAAAATATACATGTTCAAGCATTGGAAATAGTTTTTCTGCATTGTCACAATGAACAGTGGCATTTTATATCTACCACTGCTGAAGCGAAGTGCTTTTACCCAAGACCTAAACAACAAATCATTACAAACCATAATAAGTAAAGGAATTAAGGTATATTCATTAGCAATTATCACTGATCATGTTATGAGAGAATAACTTACTGGCCTAAATGAACCTTACTGAAACAAAATTCCCACAAAAAAAATACACCCCCACAGATGGCATGGGCTCTCTTCACTTGTTTATCTGTTTGTTTTTAGAGCTGCAGGGAAGCAGTGATTCAAGGAGCTGCATTTCATTTCCTTCTGTTTTCTTTTTATGAGTAGGGGGGGGGAGAAGACGAAGAATATAAGAAGATGACGCAACAAGAGTGGAAAGAGCTCTGGAGGCATAACGGATTCATCCAGTCGTCTGAAATGTGTCAGTGCCACATTTCCATTCGGTACTGGACTGGCGGTGCAGTGTTTTTCGAAAGGAAGACGTGCACACGCTCGGGCATATCTGTGCGATTACGTTAGCGTGCGCGCCTCAACAAGCCGACTGACCTCACAGCAGACGAAGAGTGCCGCCTCAGCACTTCTGAAAGGTCTTGCTTGCAAAGTAATCAAAAAAACGCACTCTCCCGCCGACACAAATGCACGAGCGCCTCACAAGGAGTGCTTCCACCCCCCCCTTCAATATCCAGCACATGTTTCCTCTGTATTTTTAAGTACACCCCCTTACATCGACACCCCCCCCAGCTTGCCCCTCCGCGTCTCTCACCTGCCTGGACAGTCTGGCTATGAAGCAGCCGTTGGTGAGCTGACACGGCTCCAGCCGGAAGAACTTGGAGTTTGTTGTGTCTCCTGTCGGGGATTCATCAGGGAAAATTGGACCGTTCACCCTGAGAGAGCAGCACACAGAAAAACATTTCATTCATGCTGCCGCCTCATTTCAGAGAAATACTGCTGCCATAGCCGGGGAGTATACTGAACACAAAATCCAAAAAAAGAGTAAGGGTGCCATCCACTTTTTTGACGATCACACAATTTTGCGTTAGTTTTCACAGCTATATACTGTACATGCATGTGAACATATTCTGCAAGATCCAATTGCAATTAGATTTCTTGGAGAGGATGGACGGTCAGGTGAGAGGGACTTTTGAGGAGCGGCACGTATGAAAGAGAAATCTGCAGCGCCGTGACCCCAGCTGTCGGATTAACTGCCGTCTCCACAGCAACAGCGGGCTTATCCTTCATATTGTCAACAGCTCGGTGACTCTTCCTCCCACCGCCTCGCTTTCCCTCTCACACAGGATACAGTTCACAAAAAGGTGCACAGCTATTTACTCATCAGCTACGGCCCAAGCCAGAAAACGCAATTCCCTTCTGATAACGTAGTCAAACATTTCCTCATATGTGATGAAGTTTTTGCAGGTTTGAGAGAAGGGACAACTTTTGCTTAGTGGAGAAAAAAAAAAAGTACCCTCACAATTTATTTAAATAATCCTACCAAAGCAATATTTTACTATCCAGTTTGAGTACTAGAAAGTAACCTCAGTGGTGTTAAAAAGATCCTATTTCCTGTTATATTTCAGATTTAGATGCTTCAACAGTTCACGACTTCATCAAATGTTCAAGTTTGTAGGAGAAAAAAAGAAAAAGGAATTTATGGTCCGGCTGAATAATTGAACGCTCATTTAAATAGACAACCTGAAGACAGCGACTGTCTGTCTGTGTGTGTGTGTGTGTCCGTGTGTGTTGTACCTGAAGGGTAGCAGTTTGGGGTGAGTGTGTGTTTTTTCTAACACTCTCCCCACCAGCTGTTCATTCTCCTCAGGATACTCCGAGCGTGTGCAGTAAACCACCGTCTGGACCTTTGGGACTGGCCCATTAAACACAGGGGGACAAAACACGCTCAAAAGTTTCCCCATCATTGTACTGATATTTTATAATACGAATACATGTCAAGTAAAATACGGTGACTAATAGGTTTGTTTGTTTTTCAACCCTTTTTAAGTATTTTATTGACAACCAGAAAGGTTGGGATGCGGTGTAAAAACATTGAACATCTTGTCATGTCTCATAAACCAGAAATGTATCCCCAGCAGGGAATGGAAATGCCATCCGTCCATCCATCCATTTTCATAACCGCTTATTCCCTAATGGGGTCGCGGGGGAATGGAAATGTTTAAAGTGAATTTGAAGGAAGTGGAAAATCTTTAGAAAATCAAAATCAGGGACTGTGGTCGGACAAATATTGTTTTCAAAACATGGACAACGTGACTACTTGACCAAAGAGTAGAGAGATTACCTCTATTCACAGTTTACAGCACTCAGTAGTGTGGATTGCACATCTGGAAATGCACCATCAATGCTAAAAGGCTCTTAGAGGTTTAAGAGCAACATATGCTCCCACAATCAGATGTCTATTTCAGTAAAGACCACCCACTGCTTCTATTACAATATCATTACTCTGTGGGGAAAGAGTCTGCATACCTCACTGGAAAAATGATGAAACATGAATCAGGTCACTTTCAGCTTTGTTTTCTTTTTTTTTGTTCCAATGTGAAATGAAAAGTATTTTGCGTGCTTTGCAGAGCGGAGCTGTCTGTTTTTTGTTGTTGACATTTTGCACTGAGGTTTGAAATGTATGTCGCTCCTATTCAAATGTGGGTGCGTTTGTGCACACTGTGGGGATGTATACTCACAGATGAGAGCGTGTGCTAGCAGTCGAGCCTGCTGGGTAGCCAAAGACAGTAGCTTGCTTTTTGAGACGGATCCTTGAGACAAGTCTGGCAGCAGTTCCCAGTCTGTCAAAGGGTTCAACATGTCTAGTTTAACAGGCACGTCGACATTTTATACTACCATCCAGATTTCTACCAGGTTAAAAACACCCTTTGGACTAAGGCTTTTTTAGTTAGCTGGACCTTCTTAAGAAAATTACAACTCACAACTCATTGCATTCTAATGTGAAAATCATTGCAAAGTCAATCTGAAACCGAACATTACACGTCACAAATGCCCAACCTCCATGTTCACTGTGGATGGTGGCCACGGGGTCATTCAGGGCAGAGGACGAACACCGGGGCAGCACTATGATGACCTTTAACCTCTGGACGGCGGTGTGCCACTCATCCAGGCTGCAGAAGGCTTCCGACAGGACGCGCACATCTACAACAAAGTGTAGACGGCATTGGTTTTAGGCATATTGGGAGAATCAGCAGAGATTCAGTCACTTTAATTTCCTCTTACGTTGGACCACAAACACAAACACGCATCATTCAGCACTTAACCCTGTGCACACTTCGAGCAGCTCTGGGCTTCTAAATATTTCAAGCGTTCAGAGTTTATTTGGGTGTTGTGCAACTTTCAGGCTAACAATAGAGCGGAAAATGGCAACATGATATGCGGGTATCAAGTGCGAGTAAAGCTACAGGCCTCATTATCCCCCGCAACACATTAAGCTGTAGGCTACACCCGTGGGTCCAAAGCCTTTTTATCTGATATACCCCCAAAGAAGAAGGTGACCCTGTCCCATGAACTCAAGTTTCTACATCGCCATCTGCGTCCGTGCTAAACAGATGTTCGTTTTCCCCTCGACCTTTAAACGCCGAGTCAATTTAAGAAATAAAAAACTCCATCTAAAGAAAACTCGACAAACTTAGAAATAGCTTCAAAACAGTAATGCTAAATTAACAGTTGGCTTTAGAGACAGGAAACAGAAGTTGGAGACTCTGCCAACTGCGATGCATCAACAAAATGAAGCTTTAGAGAACTTCATCAGCATATTACTACAAGGCCTTTGTAAGTAAGTGTTTCACACTTTGTGTATCTGGCATGGTCTGGTTTTCATGACAGCACAACCCGAACGAGCTAAACTTTAACCAAATGATCATGTATCCATTAATTGATTACACCGTTTCTTTTCATTAAGTGGCTTAATTTTTTTCCTTAAACATGCAGGGATGTTAACCTTGATAAACTTTGGTTTCCTTAAATATCCAGAGTTAATTCTGACTGTTTCACTATTTTGTGTGTTGCTAACAAAGTTAAACATGACTCGTATTCACTTATTGTGGCTCCCTGCATATGTGAAGAAACAGCAGCATATTGAGGCTTCGAACGAAGATCTTGAAAGACCAGCAGATCTCTGTGTCGGTCTTTGAGTCCCTCACTTTTGATTTCCATTCGTGCTCGCAGCTCCTGCATCTCCTCCAGCTGTGGAGGCGTGTGGTCGCCGCCGCACACCAGCACTCGGCCCGAGCGGGCCGCGGCCACGGTGGCTACGTGGGCCACGGTCAGAGCTGAGAAGGAGCCGGCCACCAGGACGTCTCCTTTATCAAACAGCACGGGCTGCAGCACGCTTGCTGCGATGCACACACTCCTGTCCTGCAGAGAGATTTACACACACACACGGGTAAGCAAGTTAAACAAACCCCTTTGAGATTAAGAATGAAACATCCGGGTTGCTCAAACCCATTTAATGGTGATTTAAAAAAAGATAAAGGCTAAACTCTGATCTTTACATGTTGGCAAAGCTGTTTGCTGTTAACTTTATTTTTGCTCCTTCAAAATGACCATTTGGAGAACTTTCTTCTTACTTTAAAGATTTTCCTATATGTGAATATTGGTACCTGAATGTTGAGCAGGTGTGTGGTGGTGAGGGCGCTGCGTTCGAGGACCTGGCGCAGCCGGTGAGAGAACACAAGCGTGTCTGGACAGAGAGGGTCCCTGCAGAAGCCGGCCTCCGTCAGGTCGGCCACATTCTCAGCTTCCTTCAAGCCAGCGCCTCGTAAAAGTTCACACACCTCGTCAAGGCTGCGGAGGGAGGGGGGGGGGGGGAAGAAAGCGGGTCGTTGGTTTTTTTTTGGGCGACATAACGGCTTCACGACAACATGAGTGTTAAACTCGGGGTATTCGCACTGAGCAGCCTCCTTTCTTCTCTCCGCCCCGGTGGTCTTCACTGCCTGCTACACTCCCTCTGCGGCTCCCTTAAACAGGAGCTGTCCCTCTAAAGGCCCAGTGTGCTGCTCAGTTAAACGCTGAGTTAAACGTTTAAGACCCTGCGCCTTGTCCCGACTGCGCCTTTTCGTCTGATGCGTGGACGTCATAAAAAGCATTATTTCTCTGCCCTTGGGCCAAATGCGATGACTGGATTCTTCTTCCTGTTTAGCTGCCGTCCTGCTCCCCCCCGTCTGTGCGTTTATCGCTCTGCTTTTCCCTTTCGGAACTCGGTTCAAATCAATGGTACTTTATTAATCCCTAAAGGGGACGCGATATTGCTGCAGAATACATTATTTTTTTATGGTTAAGTTATTGGCATGCTCGGACGATAAAGCGAATTAAGTTCAAACTAAAGCCGGTTAACAAACTTTGGAAAGTTAAGTGAGGCAGAGTGACAGGGAGGGGTGAGGGGCTTAATCTCCAAAGACTCTCATGCATGGATGAAGTTGTTGTTTCTGCAGCTGAGCGACGGCATGATGGATGATGCCACATGCAGCGTCAGCAGGTAATGCCGTAGAACTCTGTCTGCTGATGGCAGACACACACACACACACACACGGCTTTCAGATGAGCTTTCTGGGTGTAAAGGAAAAAAGAAGCTCCCTTTGAGACATGAGCATTATTCTACTTTCTGTTTTTTGGTTAAAAAAAAAGAGCCAATTTGCTACCTTCTTTATTGTTATGACTCTGTTTGGAGCCTTTGGCTGGGGTTTTCCAGGTGTAATTCCTTCCACCATATCTATATGAATCAAACAGATTTACCATTTTGATATTCTTGCTATGGTGGCTACATGGCTCCAGACTTCACTGCCCGTTATCTCTCCTTCCCCATGACGGTCAAGGAAAGAAATGGTTTTGACTTCCTCCTTCTTTATTTCGTATTTTCCCCCTGTTCACTGTCCTCAACATCTGCTCTTGAACTCAACTAGTTTTGGGATCTTATTTCATGTATTTCTGAGCTTTAGAGAGCTCAATCAGCTTGCACTTGTACACAACAGGTAAAGATGTGATCTATTTCAGGGTAATTTAGCATTTTCATACTTTCATCCAGCAGCTAGTGCAGCTACATAACTACACTGTATGTCGGTCTACGACTATTTTCTGGTTTGTTTGATCTCAGAACGCATGTCAGCTGAACAAGGACGCAGTGTGGAAGTGACAGGGCTGGAACAGAAGCCTGTACCTTGCCTTGAGGGTGTTGATCCAGGCGTAAAGCGGCAGGCATTTCGCCCTGTGGTGCTTGGTCCTCACAGAGTCGGACAGAAAGCAGGACACGCTCCACAGGTTCTGCTTCACTCTGTAGCGAGCGAGAGAGGCCGCCAGCTTGATTTTGCACCTGCAATGAGCACATCGCACCAAATCGGAGCCGTCCCCACCCACACGTGGGTGTTCACACACCTGAATACTACACCCACTTTTGCAGACTGCTGTCCAGGTCCCTGACTAGTTTCACAGTCTCCCTCCCCTCTGGTGCTGACCGCTTATAAGGCAGAAACTTTCTGTCCTGGAAGTCGAAAAGCATCACCATCGCCAACGGCAACAAGTCGTCACACTGTGAAACATGGTGAAGAAATGTATTAGTTTTGATAGAATTCCACTGCCAAAGACAGTTTTTGGATTACAATTTAATTATTTTCCATTTCTTGGTCTATGTTTCCTATTAGCTTAGCTTTTGCCCCAAATTTGAGCTTTTTTTTTTTTACATTATGAGTATCTCTAAACAAGTTCAAATTTTAGAAGACCAGACAATGCAACATTTGAAAGCCATCTGTTAACAATGATGGATAATCAACACTTATTGTACTTTCAGAGTCCAATTCAGTATGCTATCCATTAAAAAGCCATTGTCCAGAGAATAGATATTAAATGTCACTAATGAAATTATAATTTTTTAATCAGATGTCACTGCAATGTTGATAATTATTTGCCTGTTTTTTTTTTCTTTTCTTCCATTGACGGTGGTATATGCTACTGTGAATGTGTGTTGAATAATAATGAGATCTGCTGTAGTTTTTATAGTCTCACTTGCAGACGATCCTGGCCGAGTTTCAATGAAGTTGCCATTTACACGCACATACACACGGCTACACACAAGCTGAGTGCGTCTCTTTGTCGATGTATGTGTCGTCGCATCCTGTTTTATGGTGTAATTTACAGTCTCGAAAGTGGGAAGCGTGTCTTGCACTCTGTAATATGCATCACTTGTCGACGATAACCAGCCAGACTTTGTGCAGATCTGAATACAAATGGTCTTTAAACCAGAGCCTTCCCCGTCTCCCTAACCCAGACGAGGAGAAAGAGAAATCCTCCATTGGAAGACCGACAACTCCCACACAGTGTCAAAACCATTGAGTGTATAATTAGATTTGAGTTTGTAACGAATGGGACTCACAATATGCTGAGATGTGTGGAAACAGCTGTCAGCAATTATGTTCTCAAGTAAATCTTGATCTAGAAGAAAAATAATGTTAACAAAGAATAAGTTAATAAGCGTCACGGCGGTCACATAAGAGATCTGAGGGATCTGAATGGGTCGTGGGTATTCGATTTTTTTTGCCTCGTTTTTGCATGTTGTATCTTACCAGTGTTTAGATTGCATTTTCCAATATGCCAATATGGCTATTTAATACGCACACACACACACACACACACACACACACAAACAGACATGCATACATACATATATCTATATATGTGTATATATATATATATGTATGTAATACACAGCACTATATGTAGAGCAGCAGACCTTTTGATATTAAGTAATGAGGTATCATTAGTGATAACTTAGATGGATACATCCCAGCTTTAAAGCACTAAATAAACCATTAACAACAGCTATGGCATATATACATTTATTTCATTGTGTGGAGAGACTTTTTGTTTTGTTTTGTTTTGTCTTTTGTCATGGTAAATCAGGGGGGGGGAAATGTTTTGATTTTTTTCTTTTTTTTGCTCTTGTGTTAAAGTAAAACCATTAACTACATGAGAGATCCAGTGGAGTAAAAATGCCACCTGTGCACTCTTGAGAGCTAAAGTGGTTGATTGTGTGCGCATACTGCAGCATCTCTTATCAGCTCCCACGCAGACGCCTGCTGAAACTCCTGCTCAGAGCACTGTGTGGCCGCATGGAGAAGTGAAATGTACGAATGCCTTCTATTTAATCTACAGACCGGAGTTGCAGGTAACGGCATATTAAAGTCCACAGATGCTGCTGCTCCGCTGCCCATCATTTTAGAGATAAGGCTTCTTATGGGATGTGGTTAACGGCCCAGGACAGTAAATTTCCCCCTTCCTTTCACCATACTGATGAAGATGTTTGAACTGGAAATTAATTAAATCAGGACCCTGTTTTGTTTGAAATGGTTCACTTCAAAGGGTGGGGGGGTGGTATTACATCTGAGCGTGTTGAAGGCGAGTTGGTAGGCTTGTTCCTGTAAGGCTTTGTCTCCACATTCGGGCAGGGGCGCGTCGGCCTTTTTGTCGTAACGGAGAAGCTGCTGCGTTTCTGGCTTCTCGGCCCGAAGCTGTTGGAAAATGGCTGCCGCCTGTAGGTAGGCCCGGTCCGACGGGGGAGGCGCTGAGGAGGGGAGCAGTGGAAGGACAGAGGAACGGTCAGATGCCAGAGTGGAAGTTAGGGAGAGAATGAAGAAATATGCCAATCGCTGGATGACCATAGAAGTGATTAAATTTTTTTTTTAAAGCTTTGGATAGCTGTCAAAACGGATCTCTGACCATAAGTTAACAGTGTCAGGGCCTTAAAACTTTAAAATTTTAACCACACATGCGCACATTTTCAGCAGTATATGTCAAAATATCTGATGAGCTGCAAAGGGCTGCACTTAATAGACTGAAGGTCTAACTTTTGGATAAAGTTTCAGTTTGCTTTGTTGTGTGTCTCTGCTCCGTCTGAGGCCCACAGCTCGCCTAACCCGCTGCAACCTGAGGCCGCACGTGTGTGTGTGCCTCTGAGAATTTCCCTTTGGAATAAAAACTATTTTTGTTTTAAAGCCTTCCACTGCTGTTCTAACATATTATGAGGGATTGACACCCCAAAAAACAGCCTGATCTGAGGGTCAGTGATGATTCTGATGGAGTTCAGATTCCAGACTGGGTTGCACCTGGGCAAGGAGAGGGAGGATGGAATAGAGGAAGAGGAAGCAGAGTCTTCAAATGCTGCCTGTTAGAGATGACTTCTTTCCCCATGGCAGAGCACGTATCAGCGTCCTGGCCGGTGTCCGCTGTACACAGGAAGACAGGGAAGAGACAGAGTGTGTTAGTCTGTGTGTGTTTCCGTCGCTCACGTTACAACGGCCAGCGTGAAATGACCCCCATGATCAGAACAGCGATAATCGAGTGTTAAATGACCACTGCGAGCGATTTTTCAATCTTTTCTCTGACTTTTTGCAACTTTAAGTGTGTTCCTGGGCTCAAACAGTCGTGTGTTTGCAGAACTGAGCCCGGTTCTGGAAATGTAAATAAGAAGCACGCAATCAGTCGTGACTGACACGCGATCCCCGTCTCTTCTGGCAGTGAACGTAACGCCGTGTGCGTAATTGGGCTCCTCGTGGCGCAATTAGGTAGCCGCGGGGATACATGCGCATGAATAAATGATGGCCCTCATTCCGACCCCGGACAAAGGTTCCCCCTCTGTCCGCCTCAAGTCATCCTGGCTGGGGTTGTGCGCCGTGACGCGTTTCCATCCCTTCACGGGGAAATCTCCTTTACTTACTTTCATTTGCTTTCAGGCTCTAAAACCAGGCCCACGTTCAAACCCGACGATTTGCATCCCCGTACCCATACGTAGATATGACGTAATTGTTCAGCGGCATCTTCTAAGTTGAGCTTTAGGAATGCATTCGTTTAATTAAAGGGAGCTTGCAGAGGGGGAAAGACAGAGAGGGCGATCGACTTTTGCCGCATTCATCAGTATTAAAGCACGAAGTTGGAACTGATCAGAAAAGTGCAGCCCGTCCAATAAAGGCCACGTCTGTGCAGAACGGATTAAATGAATGAATATCAAACAGCAGTGATTTAAGGAGCATCAAGCAGTTCCTCAAGCTCCGCAGACACAAAAAAAAAACAAAAAGTCCAAGTCCACTTAAGAGGAGCAGCTCTGGAAGAAAAGGCTACAGCGGCTTAGTGTAATCTGCATAGAGCATGATGAGCTGTTTAAAATTGCATGGCGGGTCTTACCGTTGTCATTCAGAGCCCTCTCCACAGAAACAGCACTCATCTTCACAAAGAAACGCAGCCCGGGCAAAAAACAAAACAAAACTAGGCGCTACATATGGGGGGAAGCAAGCATCGCAGTTTGTGTGCGACTCTTTCTTTTGGTCCTCCTCTGCCCAGTCAGCGGGTCAGCAAACTGGAGCGCGTCCTGCCTCTCATCACCTCTCTGTCACGCATGGCTCAGTTCAGGAGTGCGACGACCCGTCCTGAGTTTGGGCCGCCATGGCAACAGTATGATAATGAAGCAGTCCTGACTCCTCTGTCTGTGACAGATATACAGTAAATGTAAACCACTATATGCCCCCCCCCCTCCATCGCCTCTTCTTTTGCTAAACTATAAGATCTTAAATTGTATGCGCAATCTGGAGTTTCTGCAGATCTCACAATCAAATCAGCAGGTTTTATATACAGATCATTTAATGTGATTGACTACTTTAATCAGGTTTTAGAGATTAAATGTTGTTTTTGTTTAGTTTTTTTGAATGCCTGCACATATTGAGTCCAACATCCTCTCCCAAAATGTTCTGCCTCTCAACCAACCAACTTCTTTTTCTAACAAATAAAACAAACATTAGAAACATTAAAAAGACGTAGGAGTGAGCTTTGCAAGAGGTGTTTTGCCCACGCAGAGACTGTTGACTGTATGTCCCAACCTCCCTGTTTACACTGGAAAAATACCTGTAGAACATCTGTACCAAGTATAGAGCACAAAACCACGTTTCTTACTGTAGTACGAAAATAAGCAATACTAAGCTTTACACAGCTACAAATGTAGCTTTAAGCACTTGGTTGATTAATTAAACCATTAAATAGTTCTCCTGCTGTCAGAAAAAAAGTCACCTGGGTTGCAGTATCTGTGTTTGACCAACAGAGGGCAGCGTTTTTCCATCCCCTCCAGAGGACAGAGCAGGCCCAGTCCAGTAAATTTTCTGGCCCCTCGATCGTAAGAATACAGGAGTCCCACTTGAATGACTCCCTTACCATTAAAAAATAAAGAATAAAGACGTGGTGCAGTCCTTAGTTGAAGCAACCCAGAGAAATCCAGCATCAGAGACAGAATCAACCTGGAATCGTCTCATCTGACTGAGTTATCTAACAGGTGTTTGAACAACTGAAACTTATCAGAAGGATTGGGATAGGCTTTATTAGTCTGTGAATTTTTTTTTTTTTAAATACCCCTAAAAAACCCCAGTGTGTTTTTTGGGGGGGCCAAATGAGCTTCGCTGCTCTGTGGGTGAGAGTACAGCTGGGGAGATTATCCCATCCAACACGCGTCATCAATGTGGCCTCACGACGGGGCTCCAATTGCTCCGACTGTTTTGGGTCTGCGTGTGTGTGTGTGTGTGTTCAGTTCAATAATCAGCCCTGTTGGAGACGGCGGCCTGTGCGGCCATAAGCCGACATGGAATTTTCTCAATAAAGGTTTAATCTTTAATGGGGAAGCAGCTCAGTGCCAAAGAGAGTTTCTTTGTTGTTTCTCCTTATTGACTTAATAAACTTACCTGCATGATCACCTCAGTCCACCTCTGACGGCAAACGCTATTGGCTGCTGGTGTTTGCGCTCCCGGCCTTGGTTTGTGTGATGACTAGCTCAGTGGCCATGGGGTGATCTCCTTTAAGGAATCAAGTCGTGCCGAGCTTTGTAACGTTGTTGCTGAAGTCGAGGTTTGTTGTGGCTTATGTGCACAGCGCACAGCAGAGCGCAGACGCTCAGGTTTTAAAGTTTTTAAACCAGGTTTTAAACCAGCTAACCGGTTTCACACAATGGGAACACTGACCGGAAGTAAGAAAAGCCGGGATGTCTCTTGGCCACCACTGAAACTACAGAGAAACTAGTGTAATCAATACAGTTTTTTAAAATCTTATTTTCTTTAAAAAGAAATCCCAATGAGCATTAAGGTACATTTAATTCCTTACTGCCTCACCGGCTATTTCCTTGGCTTTGATCTAAGCTTGTGCTGCCACAGTGAGGACAGCGTTCCCCACTTGTGGCGGTGGACTTTTCAGAAATCCCCCCATAGACTTTTCTGGTGTGTTTAAACAGCTGGTGGAGAATACAAGAAATGCATCGGGCCGTCCTCTTTGGGTTTTCAGGCACCTCATATTTGCTGTTTGAAGAAAAACAAAGACACACACATACCCACACAGACACACACACACACTGACACACACACTTTTGAACTTCACTGTCATGTTTTTGTCTCTGAGCCTTCACATAAAAAAGGGGGGAAAAAAGCTAAAAAACAAAAAAAAATCGTGTAAATCACAGGAGTGTTGGTCTGTTTGCTACATCACAACACACATTACACCTGACTAAAGCAGAGGAGATTATAGATTATGGATATTTGACTATACTAGGGCATTCTGAATAACACATTGTTATTACAACAGTATTCAGTTTTAGCCCAGATGGTGAACTTAGTAATTCTCTCCATCTTCTAATAAACAAAGAAGATCCCCAGATATATCCTTTTCTCATTTGAACTATCTAGACAGGGCTGAGTTAGTTACGTCCCCTCCTGTTGAGCTAAGGTGGAGCATCAGAATATTCCTTCTGCTTGTGGGTGGGTTTTGTGTCTGAGGCAGATTAAGAGAAGCACATTAGGCCAGGGTTGTTCTCTCTCACTCTCTCTCTCATCAAGAACCAATTAAAATCTCATACAGTACATCTCACACACACACACACACGCGCCCCTCTGTCCTCCACAGAGGGATGAGCTTTAACATTAGTTGCAAAGTGGAGAATGACGCTTTTGTGTAAAGTACAAGGTCAAAATGTGACAAGAAGCCCTCCCTCTGCATTGCAGCCACAAATCTGAGAAACACAGATAGATAATCAGAGATGGCCGTCCGTGTGTTTTTCTCTCTAAATTTGATATGAAAATCTATTCGGTTCTGGGCCTATCTTGCTCATTCGGCTCTTCTGAGTTGAACTCTCAAACTTTTAAACATTTGTCCAATTGCTGGTTTTGCATACCAGCTGGAAAACTTTGTTTAGCAGCCACATTTTAGTAATGTCTTTGAACATTTCTGAACATTAACAGCCACAGGTCAGAGATTTGTTTCCATCAGTTCACTACAGAAGCTTTGCAGACGTCAGAATAGCTAAAAACTGTCTTTTACCCTCCAGTTCAGCTGGACTTCTGCCCCTTCTGACCAACACCGCTGAACTGCACCTGACCTCCGGCCACTGCGGCTCGGGGTGAGCGGATGGGGGGGGCGATCGTGTTGCCGGCACATAAAGTCCACAAGCAGACACGCAGCTGGGCCCGATTCGACAACATTAACCCTGTTCGCCAGCGTGTACAAAGGTAACCCGAGCCGCGCGTTCCTCTGGCCTCAGTGTTCTTTTGGGTGTGTGCGTGAGATGGCTGGATTGGGCCCACTTGTTGCCGGTGAATGGCGGCACTGCCCCCGTCTCTTTGTGCGCCTTTGTTGGGCGCCG